GATGGCCACGACCACCGTGAGGCAGGTCAGCACGATCGAGTAGTACAGGAACGCGACGGGGTCGCGGTGGTTCTTCTGCTGCTGCGCGGCGTCGTGCTCCTCCGGCCCCGGGATGAGGGGCGCGTCCGACGCGGCATCGCTCTTCGGCGGCAGGAAGTTGGCCGACGGCTGCACGTACAGCGAGAGCATCAGCGCGCCGTCCGTCGTGTCGAGCAGGCACATTCCCGCTGGTTCTTTGCATTAGCTTTACCATGTCCATGAGGGGGGTGATGGAAGGGAAGGGAAGGTACCGGTGAACAGCGCCGGGAAGATCAGAATCACCCAGAAGTTCGTCCCCTTCGCCGCCTCGACGGACGAGATCCCCAGCAGGGCGATCTCGGAGGAGGTGTCGAATCCTAGCCCGAACAGGACGCCCAGGGGGTACATTTTCCAGGGTCTGCATCGTCAGCATCGTCATCAGTATGTTTGCTTTTTAAGATGAAGGTGGTGGTGGGAGGGCACTACCGATCAATCAACTTGAACATCCGCTTCAGCACATTAAACAACATCCCGCCCCCCTCGATCTTCCAGATCTCGTCCTCCCGGTCTTCCGGCAGATTCAGCACCTTCTGCATCTGCCGGTACAGCTTGTACAGGATGTAGGCGTTCATTAACCCTAGCAAAATCAGGAAGGCGGCGCTGACGGACGTGCCGATGATGCCGCCGATGGTGCTGAAGCTGTCGAAGCGCGAGGAGATCGCTGCCGCGGTGGCGGCCACGACGATGGAGGTTATGATGACGATTCTGCGGGGGGTTAGTATCATCATAAAAAGGGGGATGGGGACAGGGACAGGGGAAGTACGTGGAATGACCCAGCGAGAAGAACGTCCCCACGGTCACGGGTTTCTGGCCGGTCGCCAGTAAGCGCCGGGTCATTAGGTCGATGGCCTTTTCTTGTGTTAGTCATATTTTACATGAAGAAGAGAGAAGGAGGGGAGCGTACCGAAATATGATCCGCATCGAAGGCATGTCTCAGGCCAAAGGTGTAGGAAAGCACGGCGTTGGAGACGAGGGATCTATGCCCCGAGCCTAAGGTCAGTATCTCTGCTACAGTACCACTGAGGTGTGGGTAGGGCTTACGGATGGTATCGCTGTCGCGTTCATTAGTTCTCGTATCAATAACTTAGCCACAGCATAGAAAGTGGGGGCACGTACCAGCACAATCGCCGCGGCAATCCACACGACCACATTCAGGAACGCAATAAACAGGATAATCCCGATCGCTGGCAGGGGGATCTTGCGGATGCCTGGCAGTCGGCGGTGGGATTTCTCGGCCTGCCGGACGAGGGCCTTGGCGGTCCATCTGCTGTGCCCGGGCGTGTCGTTGTCATTGACCGTGCTATCCACGGGGTCCGGGGAAGGGTCCCGCATGGTTGGAGGGAGCAGCCACAGGGACTCGGTAAGCTATTGAAGCTTGATTGTCGTTGTTGTTGTGGTTGTTGTTTTTGCTGTTTATAAGAATTGGGGACGGCGTGCTGATGAAATTGGTGGTGACCAGTGGTCAACGTGCGGGGGAGGAGGACATACGGCAGGATTTGAATGTTCGAGAGGAGGGGCAGTATGCAGGAAAACTGGTTTTGATAAGGCTGCGATAAGAATTTTTAGACGGGGGAATTATCAACCCCAACAACCAGTGACAACGTAGTGGATCACCTGCGAGGAATCGGCTTCATGGTGACTGGTTAGTTGGTGAGTACATATTTCGATAGCTACTAGACTACTGGAAGTTCGGTGCAGTGGAGCTTGGGAATATTTTCTCCGCAGTGTCGGAGCGGAATGTTTCGGAGGTGCCCGCTGTTGGCCGGGATGGGTTTTGCTTGGCCGATATCGTTGTTTTTGGAGTATGATTTTCGCGGGAAAAAGTCTGGTTGACGCTCCTTTGGTTCTTCACTGCGCTTTATTCATTCCAGATAATAATACATTGAATCAACGTGGCTAGGGGCCATCGCGACAATTGCCATGCCGGAGGGCGCCGATTTCTTCCCCGCCAAGCTTCTAATGTACAAGACAGTCCTTGGCATGGACTAAGGTTGGAGTCATTCATTCTTGACTCCAAGCAGCACTAAAATCTATGCCACCATACCTATCGGGTTTCCCATATGGCACTAAGCCGTAGTAGCCTCTCCTTCCCATCCATGCTTCATCGACCCGACTCATCAACCCGACCATTTCGGAGTCGGGATGCTGACCTGCGATTCCGGCAGGAAGTTACCCCACAAAGCTATGGCCTGTTGGTCCGTTTGCCGACATACTCGGGTAGCTCCACCAAACCAAGGCATGGATGGTCTCGTTGGTCGGATGCGACCGTGGCAAGTGGAGTGTTTCAACTGCCAATCCTGCCGGGAGAAAATTAGCATAAAAAGTCTCCAAGACACCGTCTCGAGGATTCTCACCTTGGTCCTAGTGAGCATATTGTTTGGGGGTAGCAGCTCAGATCTGTTTTGATTGTGTACTTCGACTTCCACTCTGTTGAAGATGAAAAGCAATAATGTTCGGTCTTGGACAGTCATGTTCATCACGCTGCAGCCATAACCGTAGGAGAAGGCGTCCATTTGGTGACAGTCGCTTTAGTGTGATGAGGGAAGTCCGGCCCGATCACCATGTTCCACTCATTCTGAGTGATAGGGGTGACATCCGACGCAGACAAAGGCGTCTTGGGCCCGCGCTTGCTCGGGATCACGTATCTGGTGGGCGGAGGGCCCTGGCGACGGATCGCACGGGTCGAGCGCGGCGACTTGCGCGGCTGCTCACCCTTGCGAAACTGCTCGGTCTTCCGCGGAGGCTCGGCCTTGGGCTGCGGGGGCAATATGATGCCGTCGTCGTTGTATTGCTTCTGGTAGGCGTTGGCCACGTGGGTGAGGAGCTCGTCCGACACGTTCAGCTGCTCGTAGACGCGGTGAAAGAAGGCCTTGCTGAACGGGCGACCGTGGAAATCTTGGATGGTGCGATGCAAGAGCTGCGTGCAGGACCTGATGTATGATTCTTCGGGGGCCACGCCTCGGTTGGAGAGGATGCACAGGCGGCGCTTGAAGGTGTAGATCCGGTCGACGTTGAGTAGCGTCAGGCCCTCGCGGCTGAAGATCACCTCGTTCTGCATGATGGATTGCTGCTTCAGGTAGTCATTGGCGGCGCTCTCGTACAGACTTCGATTCAGCGCATCGATCCAGCTTTGACCCAGGGAGAACTTGATGGCTGCTTTGGCCACCATTCGGTAAACGATCGGCCAGGTCATGGCGTCGAGCGGGGTGATGGGGATGATGATGAGGTCGGAGGGCTCGCCGGTCGGGTAGGGCTTGCCCCGGCCCACCAAGAGCGTAACGTGCATCATCTTCTGTTCTAGCTTGGCGGAAATGTACTCGAGAGCCGGGATAATAGAGGGGGTGAGGGTCTCCGAGTCAAAATTGAAACTTGGGGAAAGAGGGGACGAGATCATATCAGGACTGAGACTTCGGGCTGGCACATAGACGCCCGCTGGGCGAGGTAGACGCACGCCAACCATGGTGACAAAAAAGGAGTGAGACTTTAATCAAGAAAGCTGAGTGTGGTAAGGTAGGACCACTTTCAAGTCCAGGCCACACTGACAGTTGTGCAGAGAACATAGAGATCACGGCCTGAGGAGGCAGGCAATGCAGGAAATATAACCCTGTGTGTTGATGGTCAGGGTTCAAAGAGGGGTAAGCCCGGTGACGGAGGCAGACCAACGCGGCCCCCCTTCATCTCTCCCAAATTGGGTTATTTTCGGAAATCTAATGATAGCAAATCCCCTACGACCACAGCCAATAGATCCCAAAAGCTGAGGACCCGAGGAAACGGAACCCAATGGGCGGAGGGTTAAAAATACATTTAAGCGCCCGTCGTGTGCCGTCTCCAGCATGGCTGCAGCCGCTTATGCACGTTCCACAACGTGTTCCCGTGGTCATTGGTGGATTCGGCAGATGGATATTAACCCTCCGGGCATCTGGTCTGACGTCTTGCTCAGGGACAGCACCACTGGATGTAGTGTTGGGATCCACATGAGGCCAGCAGCGACGGCGTCCTGGATCTGCAGCTCGCCGAAAAGGGTCATCAGCCACTACAGGTACTGGGATGGAGGATTAGTTAGCCGTGAAGGCATCCCCATTCGCGTCACCAGGAACCCAATCAACGGCAATGGTACACGCCCGCCCCCGCTGTGATTGCTTTCGGAGAACTAGCGCAGCAGCTGATAAGAAGTTGCAGGAACTATTGATTTCCTGCAGATGCACGGCGGTATCTTTGAGGTCTTGAGAGGGTGGGTTCTGGGATGGCGTGGGCAAGGTTCACATTACCCCGCTCGAGGCGTTGGATCGTGTTGTCATGCTTCCTCACAGGATTGGATCTGGACCTCATAGAGAGTTCCGGGTGTTGTCACAAGGCTGGATGGACCAGAGGATACCCGACGGATGTGATCAGAATTTGAGAGTCGGAAAATGTGGCTTCCATACGGTCGGGACCTTTGCCGCTGGTGAGATTGCAGGATGATGTGTGCAGTACTCCGTAGAGAGCCATACTCCCGACTCCCCATGCACGGGCATCCGTAGAATGTGGACCAGACGATAACAAACTGGACCGGACGGGTAGTCCCACTTCTGTCAGGTGGAGCAACTTGACGATGACGATGTAGAGATCTATACAAACTTGAAGAGGGCGGAGAATGTCAGTAGAAATATTTGTGACCTGTCAAGTGAAGGTTTTTGACATCCATGTTTTGGCTGCTTACCCTCCTTGGTGGTGGCCTTCCGCAAGGCTGCCACAGTAGTAACCATGCAGTTGTGGTGGTCACCGCCCGGTCGTTTCTTTCAGTCCCCGTCATCGACTGTCCCTCTTCATCCTTATCTTGCATCCATCAACCAACCACTCATCATTCCACTGAACGGTCAAACCAACACCACTCAGTCCATCACCAACATTTTCTCGCTTCATCACCGGTTGATTACCAGAAAATGCCGCTCTCCCAACACACCGCGCTCCCCCACGTCGCCAACGCCTTCGGCACCATCTTCATCGGGTTCGGGGTCAACGCGCTTCTCCGCCCCGAGCATGCCTTGACCTTCTTCGAATGGGCACCCCCCACCACACTCCCCGAGCAACAATTGGTCAAGAGCCTCGTCCACATCTACGGTGTCCGCGATATATTCATGGGTCTCGCCATTTACGCCGCCTCCTTCTACGGGACGCGAAAGTCGCTTGGGTGGACGTTGCTGGCTGGGAGTGCGGTGGCCTATGCCGATGGGGCGGTCTGTTGGACATGGGGGCAGGGACAATGGGGTCACTGGGGTTATGCACCGTTGATCACGGCGGTCGGCGCTGTGCTGGCTGGGCTTTTGGACTGAGGTTGATTGACAAGGTCACCTCGGCAGTCTGGTATGATGAAGATGTGAACATCGTATGCAAACCCAATCTTCGATGTGGAATTTAAGCCAAAAGACTTGAGAGGGCTTGCCTTCTGTACTGTAAGTTGGGTATAATTGAGTGGACTAGAATGTCCTCACGAGGCTGCATGCATTGTTAGTAATCACCCTTGCCAAGGCGATCAAGCCTCATTGACCGACCGGAGCGTCCCAGTCCCCAGCAGTTGTAGCGTCTTCATTGATCAAATTGTTGTGATAAAGAAGCCCATTATGACTCAAACCATGAGCGAATCAGACAGCAACAGGGATGACAATCTTCCCAGCAGACAGGATACCACATTCGATGGGATATCTGATCCGACTGGCGAACACGAGTACTCAACGGGCACCAAATTCTGGCTGCTCATGCTCACCCTGGCTGCGGTCCTCATTCTTATCAGCATCGACATGAACATTGTTGCCACAGCCGTTCCCAGTATAACCGACCATTTCCACACCATTGCCGATGTGGGCTGGTATTCTTCCGCCTTCCGGCTCTGCCAGTGCGCCTTCCAGTTTGTTTTTGGTAGAGCGTACCAGCTCTTTTCAATCAAGCGTGTTTTCTTACTCGCCAATGCCATCTCGATAGTAGGCTCGCTGTTCTGCGGTGCGGCTGCGACATCGCTCATGCTTATCGTGGGGAGGGCAGTCGCCGGCCTCGGCACGGCGGGCTTACTGGCTGGATGCTTCATGATCCTCGTCCACTCCACACCTCTCCACAGACGGCCCATGTTCACAGGGATAATGAGCGCCATTGAAGGACTGGCCACGCTCTCCGCACCCCTCCTCGGTGGAGCGATCGTGCAATCCCTCGGCTGGCGCTGGTGCTTTTACCTCAACGCGCCCATCGGCGCCGTTACCCTGATCTTGACGATGTGCTGCTTCTCCGACCCGCCCAACCCCGACCACACCACCCATCTTACCTTCAAACAAAAGCTCTCCCAGCTCGACCTTCTCAGCAACCTCCTCTTCATCCCCGCCCTGGCCAGCCTCTTTCTGGCCTTCTCCTGGGCCGGAGCCAAGTACCCCTGGTCTAGCGGCCCCGTCATCGGACCCCTTGTCGCCTTTACCGTCTTGATGGGCGGCTTCATCTACAACCAACACCGCCAGGGCGACACGGCCGCCCTCCCCCTCCGCATCCTCAAACACCGCAGCATCATCGCCGGCAGCACCTTCATCATGTGCGGCAACAGCACCGGCAACGTCCTCGAATACTACCTGCCCACCTACTATCAAGTCGTACGGGGCTACACCCCGGCCCAGAGCGGGTACATGATGCTGCCCATCATCATCGCAGGCACCATCGGCGCCTTGGTCCACGGCTTCGGCACCAGCGTCTTTGGCTACTACGCCCCATTCATGCTGATCGCCTCGATCATCATGCCCGTCGCGGCAGGGCTGATCACCACCTTCGACTTCAGCACCACCCTCGCGCAGCTGATCATTTACACTGGTTTTTCGGGTCTGGGATACGGGATCGGATTCTCGGGCCCGCAGAACGCCGTGCAGACCGTTCTCCCGGCGGAGGATATCCCGCTGGGCACGTCGGTGATGCTGTTCGCGCAGTCGTTCGGGCCGGCGGTCGCGGTGGCGATCGCGCAGGTGCTGTTCGTGAATCAGCTGTCGCGGAACTTGGGGGAGGTGGTGCCCGGGCTGAGTGCGGCGGAGGTGGATCGCATGGGGCTGACGCAGATCGTGACGGGGCTGGCGTCAGACAAAGCGGCGGAGGCGCGCGGGGCGATCGATCGGAGTATTGTCCAGACGTGGTATCTGGTCGTTGGGCTGGCGTGTGCGACGGTGGTGGGGAGTTTGGGGATTGAGTGGCGGTCGGTGAAGGCGAGGCGCGGGTAGACTTACCACCCTCTATACATCAGTTAATTCGGACGAAGGTTCTACCGCTGTCGATATGATAAGTGCAAGGGCTGACTCGGAGGCTTCATCCTCAGGAAAGATGGGGCTCACCCCAAGACTCCGGACTAGAAGATGCGCTCGGTGCGTTGGTGATCGGACACCGCGTTCGCCTCAGCACAGCATTCTCGTAAGTGGGACCGGTCAAGCCACAGTCGGCCTCTTTGCTTGAAGCAAACCGCTGTTCTGGAGGGACTAGTTCACCAAGTACCAGCGCTGGCTGGGTTCTTCCGACGAAGAAGGGTGTTTCCACCCACTCTCATCCCAGTGTCGTTCCCCACATCACGAGCTAGGACTCTAAGACCTAAGAACCACATTCTCACCGTCCAACCGCTTTATTCCGCTCAAACGAGCCTTTGCAGCAATATCGTTTGGGCAGTCGTCCGCGTACGAAGCAGGGTCTTGATAGAAAGGGTCCTTCTGGTAACACTTCAAGTCCCACCGAGAGGGTTAGCCACGGACAACGTGTTAAGGGTATTGAATTCATTTTTTACTGATATAAGAAAGGGTATACAAGTTGACGGCGGATCTGAGGCCGCCTCGACGATGCCTTCGGCCAAGGGAGGAACCCGCAGGTCAGGCCCTCGTCGTTGTGCCCAGATAGCTCCATGTAGCTGAATGGGTCACACATCCACTTCCTCCTTGACAGCAGGCGCGAAGAGATCCACGTGACCCACCGGATCTCGGGTCCTGCCTTACTCTGCACCTGCCACTATTGTGAGCCGGCAATGATGCAACCGAACGGAATCATGAAGCAATGATGTTATTCTGACCCAAAAGCAAAATGACTCATTTCCCACCAGTTTTGTCCGAAACAGAGGTCTCTCATCACATCCTTCCAAAAACCTCGCACTCATACAAGCCCAGCAGTTCCATACAAAATGACTTGTCTTTCCATGATACCCACGTTCGCGAGAGGCAGTCGCTCCCCCGATTATGAGAGCCAGCCCAACTGTTCGATGTCTAATGCCGAAGCGTCGAGAATATTCCACGTCCCCGAGATTCTAGAAGGTATTCTTCTGGGTCTGGATCTATACACACTATTGATTTCAGCTCGAGTCTGCCACTCATGGAACTCCCTTATCAAATCCTCCCGCAAGATCCAGCAAGCACTGTTCTATATTCCCGTCGAAACGCCGGTGCCACACCACCCACGCACCAAGAACCCGTTCATCACCGACATAATCTGGCCCGAGTTCATCCACCGCCAACTCCTCTCATACACCCGACCCGGAACCGCCTGCTGCTTCGAGATCCCCGACATGGCGTCCAAAAAGCGCGAAGCGGCGTATCTCCGGCCCGAGGCCAGCTGGCAGAACATGCTTCTCCAGCAGCCGCCCAACTGCATTGTCCGTCTGTGGAACCCGAGACGTTCCGACGTGCGGTACCGCAATCATAGCGATACCGCCGACAGCCTTGTGCGGTGGAAACCGAAGGGAGACCACCTCCGATTGAAGCATGTGGTATACTATATAGACGCGGGAGCATTTACACCATCCCCTTGGCCGTTCCTATGCTTTGTTAATGGATGGGAACTGCATAGGGTCGTGAGGAAGCCTGAGAGACGCGATAAGATGAAGAGGAGCCCCGATCTCGGGCGGTATTTGGCCAGTTTTGATCTTACTCTCAACACCGCTTCCAAGGGCTGTTGGCCGGTGGTGATTTGCCCCCCTGGCCAACCTCGACGGACGGCCCGTTCGATCAATCTTACTGATTGGTTTGAACGAAAGGATGTGAGATTGCTGGAGGATGAGCTTTGCTAGCGCGGTTGGTGTGGTTCGCTCGGAACTATCGCCGATATCTGTTCGCTTGGTTTGCTCTTCTTGCGGATATCTGACCGCTGCTGATGCTTATTGCTCGGATGTCTGTGAATAGGCCATTCTAGATCTTTGCTAGATCGTTCTTAGTTCAAGATAATACAGGATGCGAAGAACAGATGAAATAACTACAAGAGATCGATCCACCAACTACGATAAATGCAAACTGGAAAGGTCTGCGAGCACACACTTCATCATCATGACGAAATCATGGTGTTAGGGCCGTGGAGAGTAAGAGCCCAAAACGAAACACCAACCGACTGAAAGAAGCTGGAAGCATGAGAGATAATAGACAGCAACTCTAACTCGGCTCTCCCATCAGGAGCGTGACATTCCCTAGTGTGCGAAACCATCTTCGAAATGCCACCGGCATTGCCCGAAGAGTACACTCCTCACCGGGGACCCAAGGCTCCCAGCCTCGGTCGCTCTCGGTGATGACCGCGAGCTCGAACTTGGACAGATGTCCCCGAAGAACCTCGAGTTCGCGATGGGGCTCGAGCAGCCGAGTCTTCCGCCCGCCCGCGGCGGCGGCATTGGCCCAGAAAACGAACGGGACGGATCCCGGGGAAAGGGCCCCGGCATCGACCCAGTGCGCCACGCTCGCCATCCGGATGTGGCCCCCGCCCGGCGTCCACGTCGCATGCGCCTCGACCTGTTCGGAAACCTCGCCCGCGTCTCGGTAGGAAGTTTCGGGGTCCCAGAAGAAGACGCGGGAGGTGGGAGGCTGCCGGAGAAGCATGCGGCGCCAGCTCGCCTCGGGACGTCGGTATGCCTCCTCCCTCCCCCGGTTTCTCGGCGTCCTCGGCATAAACAGGGAGTCTCGGTACACTTCGTAGACGGCAAGGTGCATCCCGTCTCGCATGCCCATGGGGGCTCCGGGGAAATTGAACCAGAGTTTGTCGATGAGAAGTGGGTTGTGGCGGCCCTGTTCGGCTGGAATGGTGGGATCGGGGATGTAGAATAGCGCTTGTTGAAGCTTGCGGGAGGTTCGGATGACCTCGTTCCATGTGCGGCAGACCCGGCGGGACAGGAGTAATGTCTGCATGTCCAGATTCAGGAAGATTGTTTCGAGAAGCTCGGAGATGAAAAATACCCGGGAAGCCTGCGGTATGGGCTGGTGGTGCCTGTCAATGAGACACGGCGAGCCGCGGCTTGCCTTCTGGCCAGCTTTGCTGGATAGACGAGGCATGGTGGTTGAGATGAGAATTAATGTCATGCGCGGAGGTGGATTGGCAGACGCGGCTTGTGTGGGGGACTCCGTAACGTTGTAGATGTCTCGGCTTGTTCTTGAGTCAGAATGCCATCATTCGGGATGCTGCTCTCGGAAGAGTTGATTGCCGTTAGGGTTCAGGGCTGTTGATGATGAGTGGCTCTCTAAGCTACGCGGCGCGTCAGTGTCTGTATCCTTTCTACTGTGTAGCATCCTCTTGTTGATCCCCTTTCCTACTGTGCGCAAAATAGTGCAAGATTTATCCACTGTAGTTACCTTTTTTTCTGTCCCAACGCACTCAAAATTCGTGACTGGTCCTGGTTATGACTACTTCAGCTAAAATACTGAACTTAAAGACTAACGACCTGGAACCAAGAGTAGTGTGGCTTACACCAAATCGGATCCAGCCAGGCTTCTTTTGCTTTGTTGCTTTCATGCATGAGCATGGTGGTGCATCCGCTTCGGGTAGGAGTCGATGCTATTTGTCGGTTTGCTGCAGCACTTCGAGGCTGCCTTTATGGTTGCACAGCATAACCGGTCTTGGCAGCCATTCTGGCAACTACTTGGCGTAGTAGATGATCTTCTTCCACATTGAAGCCTTCTGAGATAGAGTCTCTAAGAACTTCTTAAGAGTGGCACCGAGCAACGATGTACCAGTAATACCAGTTGTGAATGCAGGAAGGCGATCTTTAGTCCTCAAGCTACATTCACTGTTCGGACATTATTATCACGATTTGCAAGAGTCTTCTAAGGGCCGACCCTCGAGTTCTCTGATAGTCGAAAGTAGGATAGAATACTCGCGGATTCACAGGTCTGATTCAACCCAGTACAAGTAGTTGAGTGAACAGGCTTAAGATTCACAAGGACGAGCACCAAAGCTCAATAGACAGTTCCATTACATCCTAGAGGTTGTAGAGGCAGGTGTGAATCCGCAGCTGAGTGGGGTGAATGGATACAGTCATCACGGAGGTTAACCGTGACTTCCTCCTACCTACAGGTACTCGGCCCGGACCTACTTCCTCGACTGTTCCTACTCCATAGCTCTTTCCGGATCTACTCATCAAGTTTTCAACTTTGCCTCAGCCATGGAGTCTTCAGATGACACACTCTCTTCTGTGCTTTCAACCTGGATAACTTCTTTATCTTCTTCTCAGTTATGCTTTTCTTTCTAATATCCCTGGCTCAAGCCCAACTCTTTCCACTCTCGCCACAAGTACGCATGTCAATCCTGGATCTTAATCTCGAGCAAAGGAGGTCACTCTACGCCTGCCCGGCTCAAAAGCCTGGGTAGATTGAGAGTACGTTTCTTCCGTGCAAGCGTACCTTCGCACAAAAGCGATCTACTGACTCATATGAGAAATAGGACCGATCAATACCCGATTCGAGACCATCGTTTGACTGCTGTATCGACAACCCTTGCGCCCATTGGATGATACTGGGCGTGGATACCAGCCTCGACACCGCTGTCACTGTGATAGACATACAAAGAACGCAAAGCAAGTCATCATCATCGAGGCAAAGAGGCTCGGGAGCGGACAGGCGGGCTTGCCCTAGTTATTGGGGTATCTAGGTAAGCCAACCAGGGCTTTTAGCTATCCAGGCGTCTGTCGGTTCTGATACCAGGATAGGCTCAGTGCAATTCTCCCGTCGATCGGACGGAAGAGCAAAAACCCCGCTCTTCGGAGTCTTGACCGACTCCGAAGAGTTTGTTTTCATCGTTCTCCATGAAAACATGCAGGTTAGGGTACTATCTTGTCTAGTCCGTCTAAGCACTAGAAGGACTGGCTATAAACCAAGGCAGACGTTTACTCCGGCAATATATCGAGCACTGCCCACGGTGCCTGACAAACAAGGTGCGACGACACAAACCATACGGAGACCTGCAGCCAATAGTTTCCCCTGCTATACCCTTCCACACCGTGACAATTGAATCTATTGTCGGGCTACCACCCGTTCAGTTCAATACAGACACAGACGAGTACAACCACTTGATGGTATTTATCGACAAGGTTACAAAGTTTATTGGTCTAGTGCCTGGCAACGCCAAATGGACCGCAGAGCAACGGGCAGAGCGTCTAGCTCTCTACCAGTAGGAGTATGACTGGGGAATGCCCCGAGTATTTATCTCAGACCGAGATGCACGTTTTATGAGTGCATTCTGGAAAGGCATTTCAAGAAACTCAATGTCTCGTGGTTATATTCAACCGCCTGGCACCCCCAGACTGATGGTCAAACAAAGCGCACGAACCAGACAATTGAGGATATGCTCCGCCACGCATACACGCTGCACCCACGCTTAATCCGTGACTGACTAGGTTTCCAGTACTCCACGAAACCTTTCCATTGGAAAGAAGGTAATGCGCAGAAGATTTGGCGTCTGCTAGTCTATATGATTGAAACAATGGAAACCAGAAGCCGGCAGCCATCAGACGAAGACCAGCTGCTCCAGTGATCGTTAGCATGTATCTAGTCACTTTGGAAATCGTCAACATAATATACTTAGGTGATAGTTGGTGGTCCTGAGGTCCACTAGTACTTCAGTGGCCTTAGCTAGTTCCGCAGATAGCCTCATATAGTCAGAATCCACCACATATCCAGGTCCTGGTCAATGAACGCACCACAAGCACGTACTCATGATCTTCCATCTAATCCGGTATAATTGATTCTCGTAATTGAACCCCAAGAGACCAGGTACGTAGTACATATTAGATGATCACAGAACAGCCCCCATCAGCGCAACCGCCGCGCCCCCAAAGATCAATCCCGCATCCCCAGTCATTCGCGGAACACCACCGGTTGAAGTCTTGGTCGCCGCAGCATCACCGTTCCCATCTGCACTGGCAGTAGCCGTAGGAGCCGACGTGATAGTGGAGCTCGTCGACTCCTGGAATGCACTAGCCGTCTCCGTTGACAGGCTCGCATGCGCCAGGGTAGTGCTCGTCGCGCTCGCTGTCTCAGAAACCCGCCCGCTCCCGCCGGTGACCGCCCCGGCGGTAACGGTGGCCGACAGGAAGTTTGTGAAGTAGATATTGATCCCCTGGTCTTGGCCGCTCAGCGTCCGGTGACAGACGCCCTCCGTCGTGCCATCTGCGGTACAGGCCCATGTAGTGGAACTGGAATCGAGGAATCAAATCAGCATGTTTCGAGAATCCTAACAATCATAGACAACGTAGCCCGTCGAACTTGAAAAAAAGTAAAAAAAAAAAAAGAAAAAAACAAGGGGGACCGAGGGAGACCGAGGGGGTGGTATCCATACTATTGTCGACGCCACCACGCATACGTGCTCTGGTCAACGATCTCCGCGGTGATCCCCGCGCGACCGATGGAGCAGGCGGACTCCCGCACGGAGGTGGGGCAGGCGAGGCTGTAGGTTGTTGCTGTTGCGTCCTGTTTATATACCACGTCAGCGGTGTCTTTGATGTTTCTTGTTCTTTCTTGTTGGGTGCTATGCATATGCCGAGGTGGGATGGCTTACATGGCCCACGATCGACGCCTCGTAGTCCTGATCGCGATCCACGGCCCACAGGAGCATGGAGACGACCTCCTCGGCGACGGTGAGGCCGGCCAATGCGGGGAGGAGGGTGAGTGCGAGCTTCATGCTGGCTGGACTTTCGCACTGTGGGGAGCTAGTCATGAACGAATGAAAGTGGAAAAACAAAAGTGTAAAGAGTGGATTCGCAGCGGTAGGAAACGAGTGGAGTCGATCGCGGACGCTCAACCGGACAATCTTAACAGCTAAGGCTATAGGGGAAGCGAGGGTTTAAGTACTCTATCGAGATGTGGTTTCTAAGTGCCCGAGACCTTTGGCAGAGTACTCCGTAACTTCAGACGAATCATGGCGAGCACGAGGCTGAAGCGCGAGCGGAGCGAACCTTGGCCCCAGCTCGATTCAGGGGTTCCCGCCGGATCCGGTTAACGATAAGGCTGTGAGGATGAGTGGCGAAGTGGCCTAAAGTCTTAGTCAGATGGTCATTGGAAAAGGGCAGCATCGCTTGCAGGTTAGTGTGGATGAAATGTGGGTTCTCGTCTGGGTTGAAGATCCTGGCGGGGATTAGCGTTGCCCGTAAGTTAAGTTAGTGAGAGGAAGTTCAGCTCCCGCTATGCCTTTTAGATTCAGGGCCTAATGCCGTGCATTTCCACCGCCACTATGCTGGTAGGATCTTCAAATTCTGACTCCAAACCCTCCGTAAATGATTGAAATTAACCATGAACCGAATTTGAGAGGGCTAGAGCATTCCGTTCAACTGGTATAGGGCTGGACCTGTGCCTCAGGCACTAAGAAAAGTGGGGATATCATTTAGTTTCGAGTACATCTGCACAACAACAGCCGCGGTGGTGTAGTGGTATTAACATTGCAGAGCCCCCGTACTAGCCTTATGCTAGCGGTGTGGAGTGCAGATTCTGGTCGAGTCCCAGTCGCGGCATTCTCTTTTTCTTTTTTGACCTCGACCAAAGGGTAGGCGTCATGAGGATGTCATTTGTTATGCAATTCTGCTGTCACGCCAAGGGGGAGGCCTGGACGTCATCGGTAGGGCGAGTTGGCGGCGGCCGTGGTGAATAGTGTTGAACTCGTCATGGCATACGAGTAGTTTCCCCGCAAGAAGCACAACAGTAATCTCTCGGAAAATAAAACATTAGACTCGGTGTGAGGCAGCTCTAGATGATAGAAAAGATTATGTGTCCAGGTTTAGTGAGGGCAGAGAAAGTTTATGGTTATCGCACATCTCCAGTGGTAATTGAAGGAGCTGCATGGGCATAGGGCTAAGCATCACCGGCAGCATAGCAGGGTGGACAACGAAGCTCCATCAGCGGTACAAGTTAACACCAACCCTCCCATGGGATCAACGCACGAGGCAGCTGACCGGAGCTCGAGGCTCTGGTAGGCGTTATTTCGGTTGGGCTACGAGCTGTTCATTGGGCTACATGAAAAAGAGAGAGAGAGAGAGAAAAAGAAGAAAAAACGAAAGCCCTACTCAGTCCAATGTAATTCTTAGAGAAGGAAGAGGAGGCCAAGTGGAGAGAACAGTGTAAGAGACGTGAGATATCTACCAACTTCTTTACTTCGACAGGGGCTCCCACTATCACTACTTCTTCAGTCGGTTCGACCGCCTCACAACCGCCTCACTCTCAGCACTTATGCGAAAGGTCGTGCCAACAGGCCACCCAAACCTCCGCGCAATCTTCCCGCGCCTTCGGCTCCGCGAGACATCCGGACAGTGGCGGAAGTGCTCCGGCATATCCTGAACCAAGAACGCCCGATCGATATCTTTACTCCCGGGAGTGCGAGCCGTCCCCCATGCTTCGTTGTAGTCCTTCCACGCGGTTGAGACGCCAGACACGTCGTCCTTCTGCGTCGCCGGCTTGGTGTTCTCCCAGTACTTGAGACACCCCAAGCAGTACACCCCCGTCTCGACCGACCGAGCGACCGGGTCGTAGTATGGGAACGCCACCGTCGCCGGAAGCCGCCATGGAGAGCCCCAGTACTCCGAGTATCTCGATGGGGAGGGTGTCCGGCTGCGGTCGCGCCTTCGGCGGGCTCGCCAGCGTCGCGCCCGGGGGGTATCCAGCTGCAGGGCCAGGGCTTTGGCCTGGGCCATGCTGACCAGCATCGTCTCCTGGTAGGCCCACCCGGTGAAATCGAGGGTCCGGATGACGGGCAGACGGTGCCAATCGTTGTCGAGCGAGAGGCCGTACCTCTGGAACACGGCCTCGATCGGGGCCATGCAGTACTGCCGGTGGGTGCGGTTGCAGGCGAAGCACGAGCGGGAGCAGGTCGGGATGTACAGGAAGGGGCCGAAGTCGCCGCAGGTGCGGCACCGCGGGTGCCGGAGTTCCCGGTAGAGCTGCCCCAGCGAGAAATGGTGGGTGCACTGGGTGAGATCCAGTAGTCGGAGGGTGTCGGCTGCATGCGTGTGGAGAAGGTGGTATTCTGGCAGGGAGTCGATTAGCTGTTTGGTGGTCTTGTTGACGGACCGAAGATGGCTGAGGCTCAGCATGTCTAGGTCAAGCAGGATCATTCGGATGATCTCTAGCGGTAGGAGGATCCATGATGATTCTTGCTGCTGCTGCTGCTGTTGCTGCTGCTGCTTTCGGGGAGAAGATGAAGCAGGCGGCTGGTTGCATGGCTGCTCTTGCCGTTGGGCCTGTTGGTGCTCCAGGATTTCTCTTCGATAACGTTTTACTGCGCGTCGGAAAGGCGCCCTTGGGACCGAGTAAAGATTGAGGACGTTTCTGCCGGGCTCCTCCAGGCGATAGGCTAGCCCAGATGACATTTTGGGGTAGAACTTGGCAGGTTATTGCAGTACTGTGTCCACCGTCGAGAGACTCATGCTCATATAAGAGCTATTTATGTGATAATTGGATGAGACCTGGGTGAGCTCATATGCGGGGTCTCTCGGTACTGATGGCCGTGCGGAAGACAAACTCTGCACCGGTGGGGTACATACTGTACAATTATCTTACTGTAGGCCACCTGTGTAGCGAATTGACCGTTTAGCATGTATATTTGAATAAAGTCATTCTGATTCTCAATGGGCTAACTCTTCATCTGAGCCAAGAACATCATCCTCATCCTCACTTGTCATATTCCTTGTCCCTCTTCCTCTTTTTATTCCTCCTCCTCCTCCTCCTCCTCCTCCTCCTCCTCCTGTTTCTCTTCCTCTTCCATCTTCTCGTGGTCCTCGTCATCCTCAGACAACAATCGCCGTCTCCGCGGACCAGCCATAATCACCGCCCCTCTGCCCACCAAGTGCTCGGCGCAGTAATGGCCTTTCGCAAGCTCGGACACCTTTATCGGGTCACACCTGGCATTGGTCCCCTGACGGTGAATGCACTGGTAGAAATTGTAAGGGTCTTTGATGCGGCACCCGCACGCGTACACGAGACGGTAAAAGTGACACCTGGAAGCATTAGCGCGGCCTTTCCACCCCCAAGCACAAGCTGCATACATAGCGACCTTTGTATATGTTGCTGGCTGTGTTTCATTAGCTTCCGATGTCACCTTCAGCGCAAGGAGGAGCAATTACCATAGACCTTGGATCAAGAGGTATCTTGCTTCACGAGAAGGGTTTCACGCCGCCAGCTGCAAATTGAACGTCCGCTTGGATTTCTATGAGTTTGGGGATCCTCCGCGCCCTTTCCAGATTATGTCAACGAAGTAGTTTCGGACCTATTCCCTTTCCGTGAAAGCAGACTAGGAAGCCACATCGATACGGCCGGATTTTCGGCAACCCATCTGCAGCTGACTGATCGCTTGACACCCAGGTTTGTCATCTTGGAGCTCATTTCTCCGATGGCTACGTATATTGAAGCTTCGGAAAAAATGTAAGATAGCTTTTCGAATCAAAACCCATAGCAGAATAATCTCTGTTCCAATTATTAATCATAAACAGCTGACCAACTGGAAATGCAAAGCTAGCCAGTCTTCTAGTATAGAACCTGAGTATAGTTAAGCAGATGGAGGCCCTATTGTTTTATCCATTAGGCTGTGTATTCGGGATTCTATCTGCTTTATAAGCTTACACTTCAGCCATTCTCTCAATGACATTGTAAAAGGCTTAATGCGTCGTCTTAAGCAGCCTGTACGCATTGCCTGTACATAGGAAATTCCCCGGGGTGGCGAGTTCAGCGTTAATGGCACACCCCTACCGCCGTAAAATGGTGTCTAAAAGGCACCACGTCACGGCCAGTTCAACTCCCTGGCAGCCATTTCTGACAAATTCTCATCTCCGGGCACATTCTGGGTATAGCGCGAGTTGAAGCGGATCAAGCGCTTGACGTGGTTGTAATGCTGGACCTCCAAGGACAAGGGCTCTGCGCTGACAAAGCACGACACTCCTTCGCTGCAGGGCGGGGTGGTCAGCGAGCCCCCGTAGGTGTAGACATTGTGGCCCTGGAGATGTTGCGTCAGGTCGGAGAAGTCCAGGGACTCGATCTCCGTCGCGGACCCGGGCTCACTGATCGCCTCGACGTCGGCGAACACGCAGCTGAAGAGTGAATTGCAGTCTCTGGTTTCGGAGAGCTGGAAGACGAGGCCGACGACGGCGATCCTGTTGGCTTATAAACTATCCATGACCACACAACCTAAATTTTTTGTGGGTGGTGGGTGGGGACGGATTTGACTCACTCGCGTCCGTGAACACGAAGTGCACCTCGTCGAGGCGGTGCTGGGAAGGGGTCTGGAAGTGGAACTGCGCCAGCGTACATTGCTTGCCCTGGGCCGTCAGAGCGCTATTGGGGAGCACGACTTCGAGCGTGTATCTTAGGTTCTCGACCTCGACATGGTCGGCGTCGCGGATGTCCAGAGACACCGCACTGGGATCAATCAGGGTGACGGTCTTCGAGTCGATCGCGATGGGAGACTGCTGTTTGCCCAGGTCACAGGCCGCGTTCGTCTGCGACCGATCGTCGAGATATATACACAAGTACTGCCAAAGAACATCACGGATTCCAACTCAAACTAACATTATGTCGTAGGTTCCTGACGTTGATAATTTTCTATAGCACGTGGATTCGAATCCCCATCCCTGCTCGGCATTAGACTACCGAGTCTTCGGGGTCTTGATAAGGCCAAAGCTTGGAGTACAACGCCCTCTCCTTCTCATTCTCAGCCGTTCCCAGAAAGACTTGCTTGAACCTGCGACTATTTCCCACAGCGGTTGCATAGTCCTTGGGATCGACCATGCCATCGACGGGAAGCATCCCTTGATCTCGAAACAAAGTAAGAACCTGTCCAATGCCGTCCACGTTGGTCTCCTCTTCCGCATGAAGATCGATCTCCTTCTGTGTGAACGTGATCGGACAAGGTGACGGGCTGTCCGCGAAGAGATCCTCCCAGAGGTTGACCAGCGAAAGGAGCGATTGGCGCAAAAAGAACAGGTCTCTATTCTCCCACACTCCAGTCACCAGCCAGGCGGGTTTTCGGACGATCGGAATCGTTTTCTGCTGAAGGACAGCCCAGTGACGCGGGGCGCGCTTGTACACCAGCGCCTCGTAGTATTTGTGAACAATTTGGCTCTCATGATCACTAGCTATTTTCTCCTGGCCCTCCGCACTGAGACTGTCAAAGTTCTCGGGGCGTTCGGGGACAGCCCAGCCTTCTTGGACGGGTCCATGATGTCGGAACATCCTTGGGACATGAGACTGGTAGAACAGAGGAGCCACGCATGCTGACTGCCAGTCTATAATATCGGTAATGGTGTGCGTGAGCGGGTCCACAAATACATTGTCCAGGTGAAGATCGGGATGCCAGAGGACGTTAGAGCTGGCAGCCCCATCGGTGGAGGAAGGGACCAGGAACGGAGCGACTTTCATGTACTGGTCGAGAAGGTGAAGGCCGTCCTCTGGAAGCTCGGGATCCGATGCAGATCGATAGTAATTCATCCGCGGGCGCGCATGCTTCTTGATCCATAGACTCTCGTTGCGGCCTAATGCTTGGGTGTACTCAGATGAGTTAAGCCCTGTACGTAAGACTGTTAGCCGGTGTTTTGAAAAGGAAGTGCAGTTTGGTCCACTGACACGGCCCACGGTCTAACTCCATGTCACTTCTAGTGCCATTCCACAGCTCGGGCGAAGTGAGGGGGCCAATGGCAAAGCGCTGTAGCACTTCGTCGGCACTTGAGTCATCATTCGGCTCTTCCATCCGTCCCGTGAGTGAACGGAGATCCTCCTTAAAATAGATACAACCGTGCTTAGGAAAGGTCGTGGTGGTCAGCTTATTCTCTAGATCCACTACTTGCTCGATCAGTTTGAGCTTTGTCCCTCGTGGCCATTGGCTCCAGACAGAGCCCAGTCGCACTCCAGCGGCCTTCTCCTCAATGATATACTCTGCCTCAACAGGAGTGTTGGCTGCATTGGAAGACCATGCGAGGATCCGTGGAGTTGGTATGTTGAAGTAGTCACGTAACTGTGCGGATAAGCTATGCTTGCCAGAAAGATAGAGGGATGCGCGTCTTACCAGCTGGCGTGTGGCTACTTCTGAGGCGGTGGTGGATTGGGCTGGTCCTGCGTTAGGGTTCGGGAGCTTGGCCACGACTTCGGCTCCATTGTCCATCATCAATAGAAATGCTTTGTTATGTAGGCCCTCTAAAAGTTTGATGATCTTGGTGCCTGGGAAAAATGATGAATAAGCTTTACTTGACAACGACTGTCTGGGTAGAACTAACAGTGCCGAGCGCCATTGCTGACATTGACGGCAATGTCAATGAGCTGCCTCAAATTGAGCTTCAGGTATCGCTTTGAGAGCTCGCGCTGTTCATTGCAACTGGAATATTTTAGTGGTAAGTGACAATCTACATCTTGAGGTGGTACTCTCTTATCTCTTACAGCCATCAGTGTCTGGTGTATCGATACAGATCCTCTTCCGGGATGCTCTCATCTAACCCCCCTATGTCAGCCACCCGGATATGTAGTTGAAATTCTGCCTCTTCCATGGGGGACTATACGTATTCCGTTTGCCCTTTCGATGAATAATTTTGGTAGTCTTGAGTCCGACCGCAGTCCAGCCGAACAATGTATCGAGAAGAATCTTGCGATTCGTGACTGCCGGAATGAGGCTTTTGAATTGAGACCCAGGATAGTGCGACTTGGGAGCAGCCGTAAAGAATGATACATGCCGTTTCTCAGCTCTTCTGGGAAACAACTCTCTCCTCGAATGTTGGGCTGGAAGTAGAGACGATTGATAAGAAATGCGGAAATCATCTGCCACATTGTCACACCCTTGACTGCTTGCCTGTGGGCTCCGTTGCTCGGGCAACCGCTCGTCTCACAAAAGCGCTCCGGTGCACTGATCTGTTCCCACGGATTGATGTATACCTATAAGATACGTACGTTTTTAATTGTGCATCAACTCTCAATACCCCCTTTACTTCCTTTCATTCCAGGCCATACTTTCTCCAATATACAGTCACCGCATCATCTATAAGCCTTAATATCTTGAGCAGATTCCTTTCATTATGCCAGTGGCATCCAACAACATACACCGCCCAGGCCTGACCGCACAAACGATCATACCATTTCGCCTGATAGCTCACCCATAGGTTCTCGCCAGCTTGAGCTGATTATACTCCAACGTGGTCAAGCCATCCGTGTACTCCGGGATGGCCCCAGGCCGCACAAACTCAGGCAGCGTATCCACCAGCACATGGCGATCGGGTTTCCCGAAGTACGCCACCGAGTACCGTCGGGGTAGCATCGCACTCTCATCGTCCTCCTCAGCTGCACCCTTTGCCTCTGGCAAGGTGACGCGGTGGTTGGCCGATCGCAGCGCCCTATTCGTCCACCGCTGCAGACAGTCCCCAACGTTGACGATCACCTCGTAGACATTCTCCGATTCAATGGGGATAAACTGCCCCAGTGTCCCGTCGCGCTGATCCTCAACCTGCAGACCGCCCACAGAATCCTGAAGGAGCAACGTTAGGGAGCCGAAATCGGAGTGCTCGCCGATGCGCATGCCGCCGCCGGCGCGCATCGTGCGGCGCGGGATGGCCGGGTAGTGCAGCAGGCGCAGCTCGCTGGTGTTGCACTGGTGCTTGCTGAGGAGATAGTGGTCTTCGATCGACAAGCCGAGCCCGGCTGTGATCGCGCGCAGAAGGTGGGTGTGCAGCTTGTCGAAGCGGTTGTAGGCGTCCTCCATGAACGCGCGGAAGCCTGGGAGATCTGTCTCATCCGGCCAGCGGTTGGGGAAGAGGGTGTCGCTGGCGGCGCCTTGGTCGAAGGATTCCTATTTTGTTTGAGTTGAGTCAACCATGATATAATGCGTTTGATTGGGCTATTAGAAAGGGAACTCCAACTGATTGAAGGGACTCATACTCGATACTCCTGGTAGCCATCGTTCAGCTTCTTCCCTTGCTCATCGTCCCTCGTACCCTTCAAGGTCTCTTTCCCCACTGCGCTCCATCCGCGATGAGGATTCGGGGCTTCTGGATGTGCCGCCTTGGCTTTACTTGAGTTGGGCAGGTCGAAAAAGCGTTTATTCTTTCGTTGAGTGCATTCGTTCCAAGTCAGCGTTTTCGTTTCTGCCGTGCTGTTTGTTGCTACAATGCAACCCAAAACTCACAAATTCAAATAATCGGTCAATCGTCTCCCGGGGAAGGGACGAGTTCCGAATCTTGGCAAACCCGTACACCGAAAGCGTCTCACATAAGTCCTCACTGAATCGTTGCCGCTCCTGCGCGTTGTCGCTGCAATACAGCCGGAAGTCTAAAGATTTGATAGGCATGACGGCGTTTAACTTGAACTCAAAAACCGTGATGCGTGTACCCGGGAACGGTAGAATTGGAAAAGCGACTGGTTCGAGAAGAGACGCGGTTTATGTAGGGCTTTGTGTATCTCCCGGCGGGTGACTGGTCAACATGATATGTATGCTTCGGTGGAGCAGTATCACAACACCGACTTATAGGTCATACCAGCACCCCCCAACTTTTCTCGACCGACGGCCAAACATGAGTGATTCTTGATGAGGTCATGGGATGTTTTGTTTGCAAAACTGTTGAGATTATATTGCTTTTTCCTGATCCGGTGCCTCCATTCGCTCGCTTCGGGTCTGTTTGCTTCACGGGTTGCTTCCCGCATGTGATCCTGGGATCTTATTGGTTTGGGCGGTGGACCACTTTCCGCGGACCGATTTTTCCAATTGACTGGGATAGATTCTGTCCTGAGGATGAGCTTCAAGAGCTGTTTTTGTGGCTCTTCACAGTGTGACAGAATGGTGGCTGCAAGTTGGAGGAAGCCCCCACTGGTCTGGCCAGGCTAAGCCTGTTTTGGACAAGCGCCACTGGAACCTTATCATCTGAACCCTAATCGAAGGATCTCATAGGACATTGTGCCATAGCAGGAGGATTGGGAGATAAGCTTACTAGATTAAAGTTGATTGCCCCTGTGCTTCCTTGATTATGTATTTCTGGCTTGGAAATGGCTGTTTCGGGGTTGGAAGAACGAGTCATACATGCTTGATGCTGGCGTCCATCACACGTTCACATATTCGTTCCTCGAACATTTGCTCCCAGGTTCCGAAGTCCTCAAACTAGTTCCTCTTGTTGTTTCAACCTAAATGCCGTGACCCCGAGTTGGCTTGTATCATCTCTCAGCCTACTCCCTACGGTTTAACCCAGTTCAATACCAATCACCTATTTAAGCCCCGTTGGTACAGCTAGCTATGTAGGCCTTGTCCCGAAGCGAGGACACGCCTGAAATCATTCACAAGTTGTCGAGAGATCTTTCCGGGCTATTATGAGTAAAGTCGTTGTCGCGCCCGGAAAAACTTGCGTTGATAGGCCTCGTATGTAGAATCTTGCCATTCGCGACCACCACTTGACTTCGGAACCCAGGCTAGATCGACGGGACATAAGGAAACGACTCTGACAAGGCAGTGACCACGGAGCGATCCATGCTCGCTGGGAGGTCGTCTTGCTACCCTAAGTAGAGAAAGCGAAGGTGCTGAGACATCTGCACCCTCCAAAGACCAGCCTCTTATCAACCCCGGCAAAGGCTCCACAGCTCAAACGGTTTCATGGTACCGCTATCGTGCTCTTAGCGTGCTTCTCGAATGCTTGCATACTATGGCACTTATAATCTCATCCTAATAACAATATTTCCACATCAACCTTTACCCGTGCTCGTCCGTCAATCATGGAGCCGCGAGGAATCTACTCGACTTCTTATCAGCTTTCACCATGCTTATCCAGCCCTTTAACTAGGCACTTGCTTCGTCTCCATGACATAGGACGCTCCTTCTCATGAGACGATGCGCACTTGAGATGAGTCAGGCGATACTATAACTACCATTTTATTAAGTCAAAATACAGAGAGGAATCTGCTTCATACGCGAACCATGGAAGATACTCAAATATCTTTCTACCTCATAATGCAAGTGGGAATTATACGCGCGACCACCTTCATGATAAATTGACTGCGAAGAGACCAGTGCACTGATTCACGAGCCATAAATCAGCTTTGCAGACAGAACGTCAGACAGACAGAACGTCAGATTCATTCAACCATCATGTAATCATCTTTGGGGGCAATGATAATCGACAAGGCTGAAGTGACAACACTCTTAAAGTACTATACCGCGAGACCGACCTGTTCTAAGCACAACAAGTTGGCCCTCGGAAAAGGCCGATCTTGCGGGAGACGCCAATGGCCTTCTGACAGGACAAAAGTTGATGGCAATCAATACATCAATGCAGCCGTGTCTCTGTCAGTGTATGGTTCGACAGAAAAAGGGTCCAAGTGAAAGAGCGGATTCCCCAAGCTATTTGTGTTCGAGGTTGAATCCGTTTGTTCCTTCCCTATAGGATCGCACGCGAAGGTGAGCCTCATTTGAAACTCGGACCCCGGTTCTTTCCACCCCATTGCCTTGTCAAAAGCATCGTCATTTCGAAGACTCTCCCATTCCAGAAATCGACTCACTTTTTTCGAAGCCAAGTGAATGGCTGCATGTTCAAGCCCCTTGATAACTCGAAATTTAAATTTCAACAAGCCGATATGAACCTCCCTTCTACTGGTTGCGTCAGCCGTTGCACTGGTGATTGCAGTCACCAAGGAAGGCTTCCCCTGGACAATTCTTGTTGTTCGATCATCTCCCCTCCCGACTTCAGACCTTTTCGTCGTCGATTGGGCCTGCTGTAATCGTTGTCTGCGGGTGAAAGCCCGCTCCAAGCCACAGTGAGTCCGTACCAACATAGAAGTATCTCTGTGCGAAGGCTGATACATCTCTCCACAATCACCGGTACACATCCGTTCACACAGTCCACACAGAAATTGGCCTGCATAACCAAACTGATGCACCACTGTGGTATGATTCGTCACAAGGCAGAAACACCATTCGGTATTGACGAGGCTTTTAAGACCATGGTCTCGGCCCCTCCGAGACCTTGAGTCCGGGGACACCCCACCCAGCAGTGGCACGGAATCAGAGGAAGGAAGATTGTGTTGGGGACACGAGGAAAGATGTCTTGCTTTGCGCCTGCTGAAACTGATGGAAATGTGTAATCAAGCTATGGATCTAAGTTTTACAAGGTTGCCCCTTACTTCCAAGCCCATCGCGTTGGTCCACATTGCGTACCTGATGTCGGGGTGTCGGGTTGATCGTATCAGTCTGCTTGGGCGGGTTTAGCAAGCGATGTCTCCTGCTGAGACACTCTCGTTCTAATAGACTGTTGTGTCACAAACACTGTAAAATCTCAATACAATCCTTTTACCAATTGTCTAGCTAGCTATGTCATCTTGCCTCTGCATAGCCTGCCTCCTCCCCCTCCCCCTCCGGGCGCTCCCGAGTCTAAAACCCAAAGTTCCCACCATTCGGTATCCCGACCACCGAGTGCAGTATCGTAATCAGGCCAGTGCTCTATCTTAGCTACGCATGCTCATTTAGATCTACATAGAGGATCTATAGATCCGGTGCCAAAAGCATTGTCGCAAATGGTATTCCTGGCAGCCAAGCGGACAAACAAGGGCGTGACGTGGAAGACAGGATATTTTCAATTTGGCAGGGATCTAGGAGGCAGGTTGGAAGATGCCGAGTCTTTTTACCAGCGAGTAGTTTCATTCTCTGAAGATAAAATTACTTCGCGATGTGAGCGACACATTCATCGAAGCAGGGTTTAAAAATACGTTTCTGTACTACTGTTCCTGGAATGATCTCGTATGAACCTAGTCATGTATTCATTTGTCTACTCTTCAATGGAGATAGACTAGTAGCTAGGATCAATATGAGGTAGAGGTTGCTGTAGAGATGAGCACGGAGGCGAGCAGTGACCCTCTAATTTCCGGTATTTCATTCCATTGGAAGATCTGTCCCCATCCATAGCGCCTCCGATCGGTAGCCCGTGGGTGATGTTGATACAAATACGCACAGCAGGAGCAGCATTGCTTCGATTCCCTAGACGTCTGAGCGAAGGTCCAGATCAGCCTGATTCCAACACACTGTCCATAACCAAAAACGGTGGCGTACGCAGGGGCAAAGAAGCTAACCTGACGGCAAAATGTTCCGGAGATCCTGCTCGTCAATATAGAGGCTGAGCGCGTGGGCCTCGTCGGGATTGAGATAGGATTCTCCCTGCGGATTTCCCGCGAGAGCCAGCTTCTGGAGTCCACAGAACGGCTGCCCAAACCAAAGAGCAGCGCCTTGTCCGTCAGTGCCCTTGAAAGTCGAACCAAAGCTGACTGTTCCGTTATGGGTCGTGTGATACTGCCCCCAACAGAAGCCATTGCATTTGGCGACCGGAATATGCATGACATTGTCCAAGACCAGAGTGCGGGTGGGGGAGCCTTCCTCCGGGCTAGCACGCACGCTCAGCTCCACCGTGCCGACTCCGGCGATGTATACCTCCACCCCCTGGAACGGTCCGATTGGAACCATGCGATTCACCGGGCGGTACGACTTGAAGGACGCGCGATTCTTGGCGTAGTGGTTTGTGCCGGACACCACCATCCAGTCCCAGCAGCGAGGGCGGGGTGGGATTTCCTCCTTTTTCTTCTTGCGATTGTTGACGCGTCCTCCGGTTTCTGCCATCGTGATTTTCGGCAAGGGAGGAACTGGATTTCTAGTCAAGTGAAAAAGAAATCGTGGATTAGATATAATCCTCCATCTTTGCAGGACATAGCATGGATCTCACCTGTTGATTATTGGATGGAGTTGAGTGTTGTGGGGAAGGATCCGGGGTAACGGGGGGATGTGGTTAACTAAAGTGTAAGCCTGGAGGTGCTGGAAGTCTGGAACTTCGGGGACCCGACCGAAGGCGGGGTGGGGTGCACCACAACACTGCTCCAGGTAGATCGCTACCACCCGGGTTCATGCCCCGCTGAAACATGCCTAGCACTTAGGATGAGTTGTTCTTGTCGCCTCCATGTCCCCTTGCAATGCCGAGGGCATACTGGCTGGACCAGAAAGAACAATTTCTCACCTCACTCCTATTTCTGGTTCGGCCCTCTGATCGTGAATTTGGCCGGATCATGAAAGCGGTCTCGCAGGCTGGCCAATCGGAATATGAGATGCAGATCGTGAACAAGCTCTACAAGAACAGCGCGCTGGTCCTGCCACACAGAACCTATGCATTACTGACCGGGGAGATTCGGTCCAAGACACACAATCGCAGTGGGATCCAAAAAGGGTCCTGATGGACGCGAAGCTGGTACATTTCTCCCATTGGCCCATTCCGAAGGTGTGTGGGTCTTTTGCCCTCCGCTGTGATTCATTTGATGCGATGCATAGTATATGAAAGCCAGTCACTCACACGATTCAAGATATAGCCCTGGATAGCATCAGATGCTAGGAGGTTTCGCGACCACCAACCAACCTGCGACCTCAATCCTGACACAGGAAAGGCGGATGACTGTCGGTCACGCAATATCTGGTTAGGATTCTATTCAGACTTTGCAGAGCGTCGAAAGGTTCGATCTAAACCCTATCTATCTTGGCCATACTTGACTAAATTGGGCACCCGCTGACCGAGCCAGAGAATCTGGGGTATGGAAGTCGCTACGTGACAATAGTGACTCATCAAGAATTGTTCACATCTTTAGCTCAATATCTCATGTGAGATGTCCGCGTCTGTAGACAAACAAGACATATTACGCTAAACATCAACGGGAAGAACGAACAGGGGCGTCCAGACTCACCTTACATGAGTCATTAGATATAGCAATCTGGTGTAGCGTAGATCAAATTATCTAAACGGAGGACCCTGATACAGTGGAACCATGCAAGCAGGTCAGGTGGGTACATTGCCATAGTGGTACGCGGTTTGGTCTCGTATTATTGTTCTCTTGCAGAGTTTGTAACTTAAGTAATATAGACATGCGCCAAAGCGGAATCTTAATACATTTAAGCTCTACTGATATCAGCCTCTCTCTACTGTCACATTAACAACATCGGCCAGTACAACAACTATAACGAACACATTCGAATCTTGTAGTATAGAATTATAGCTATACCAGCATATTTCAACAGCAAGCACAGACATAACTGTTTAATATAAGCACAAAGTTCAAGACCGTAGCTAAATTCATTGCAGGAATAATGCCAATTAGCTAAGATCCCTACATAGAACTATGGTAAGATCATCAGCTGTAGTAATAATCTGAATATTAGCGTTAAAGTTATAATTAACCAAACCATTGTCCAGTATAAAAGCATATAGATATACCAATCTAGCTTGACATTAACAGTTTTATCCTAGTTGAGATAGACAGTTCTTGTTGGAAAACTTTACAGAGGCCTTTAACTATAACTAGAATATGTAGTATCTCTACTGGAATGCTAGTATGAAACTAATTCAGAAACAAAATAAAGGTAGAAATTAAGATAGGAAAAGGACTTAGTTAGTATATCGTATTTAAATAATAGTAGCTACTACCCACTGTACTTGCTCCGCTAATTCCGCGTGTGGGCTTTGAACTTGGCCTATTTACATTTACTCGGCGAGCGGCAGGATCCTTGAATCAAAGCCGAAGTTGTTTTAACAAATAGGAAACAGTTGTGACTTAGGATTTGGTAAGTTTGTTCTGATCCAATCGTACGTACTACGTGGCACAGTAAATTACCGTACAGCCTGTACGATGTGGGTCTGCGTCTCTCGCATTTCGCATTATTGCTCAGCCACTTTTCTATATACCCTGTCTAGTTCCACCCCCGCCTGTACGCATTTAAGTACTAAATTGTGCCTCTTCCTCGTCGCCCAAGATCTCCCAACTTGATATATCTCACCCTTGAACCCAACATCTGGAGACCCGACCACCCCATTGCTAAAAGATGAGCGACCATACCCGAGCCAGCCGCTACTCCAACGGCTCTCTGCGGACCTGTCAAAATTGTGCCCGAGCCAAGATCCGATGCATACGCTCCGTCCCCACCGGGAGCTGCGACCGGTTGGTGCCGTGGCAATGACTATCAAGAGTTGCCCGTCGAGAGACTAATCCGCACCAGCTGCGAACGCTTGGGAAAAGCATGCCACTTTCACCCAGGGCGACGAGCAAACGCAGTTCCCGGTCTAAGCGATAGCAAGGACCGCCGGATCGACGCGCTTGAAGCCAAGCTGGACCGCCTCCTGGCGCAGTCCGTCAGCGCCACCGGCTCGGAAGCCAGTATTGAAGATAAAAGCCCATCGGCTAGCACCCCTGGTCCAATCCAGGATGTGATCGACAAGGGACTCTTGACCATTGAGGTCGCAAGCCTGCTGCTGCAGGATTATCGGAGGACGCTGATGCCGTACTGTCCGTTTGTCATTGTCCCTCCGCACGCGACAGCAGCTACGCTGCGGAGGGACAAGCCCTTTCTCTTCCTGGCCATTCTTACCGCGGTATCGTATGACAATATGCCCCTGCAACGGACACTGGAACTTGAGGTCAAGCGCGCGATCAGCAATTGCATGATCTTCGATGGCCCGGTTTCGTTCGAGACGCTCCAGGGCTTTTTGGTTCATTTAGCGTGGTGAGGACACCCCAATGGTGGGAGTTTCAATCGTTTCTGACCGGGCTGAAGGTGCCAGTATCACTCGCGGCCCCGCCGATTCTCCCAGTACTTGCATCTAGCTATCAGCATCATCACCGACCTTCAGCTTGACCGCGCCCCCGAGGATCGATTCTGGAGAACCAGAGTGGATTTCAACGGGGAGCTCGACCGGGAGATCTCGTGGGGAAGAGAAGAGAGAAGGGCGGTGATCGGGTTCTTCTGGTTTTCGTCCAGGTCTGTGGAAGCAACAGCAGCAGCAGCACACCGTTTTATGGCTATGGGAGCCAGCTAATGTCCTCATAGCATCTCACAAATCCTCCAGAAACGCTCTTCGTTCTCCTTCATTCCGTATCTCGAGACGTCATGCAAGTTCCTGGCATCAACCGCTGAATACGACTCGGATCGGCACCTGCTGCACCTCATCCAGCTGCAGCGCCTGTCCGAAAGGATAATTGTAGCCTCATCGCAGCATACCTCAGAGCCCTATGACGCAAATGCACTCGAACAGTGCTACCGTGACCGTCGATCTGAGCTGGATCTATACCTTGCCCAGCTCCCCTTCCCGCTCACCGACAGCCGTAGGTGACCCACGCTGGGGGGCGACCAGAACTTCGAGATTACCGAACTGACTTGGTTCAGATCTTCTTTTGATGCAGTACCACACGGCAGAGCTCTACCTTTGCCAGGTGACACTGTTCGACTACAAGCCTCGCTCCCAGCATCACCAGCACGATTCGCCCTTCCAGATCGACGCCCTCCGCCTGGGGCTGACCGCGGCGCGCACGCTGCTGGAATTCTATGTGTCTCTTCCCCTCCGTCAGGAGGTCGCCTTCAATAACGCAGGCTGGGTTCAGCTCGGGTTCGCCGTGACCCTGGCCTGCAAGCTGGTCGTTGCCGCGGCGGACCCCCTGATCCATCCTCACACGGTGGATTTGACCCGGGCGCTCAACCTCTCCAACATGCTGAGCAGGTGTATCATACGGATCCAGGCGCTGATCACTTCTCAGATGGACGCCCGCGGCGACCGTGATGTGTTCTACCACTACGAGAAGCGGCTCAAGCGGGCGCAGTGGTGGTTTGAAAGTCGGAGCTTGTCACGATCACAGCCTCTCGAGTGCCTGCCGGCGGCCGTCGACCCCTCGTCGAGTGCCAGCATCTCGCATACCCCCCCGGAAGAAGAGGTGAATGGCTACGGTGCAGTTTCGCGTGAGGGCTTTGATTTTCAGTGGCCGGGGTTGTTCCCCAGCCCTGCCTTTGACGACATGTTTGCCGATTGGATCGCGCAGGGATCCACGGGATTTTAAATACTAAGTGTGTTCGGTAAGTTAGTGGTCATCCGCGCCCGTCAATATTGAATTGAATGAAATATAAAGCTTTTATGAAACACTGGGTAAATAGACTCATCTGGTTAGACAGTGGTAAGATATATAAAGCATCTTCCGTTTATATTTCTGAACCATGTTGTATCTAATATATTAAGGTAGTGCCTAATGGTGAGGCTGCTTTTTACCTATAGCTTTTTCTGTACTTCAAATCCTATGTACTCCATTAACCCTGTGTATCTATGTCAATATAATCTAAGTTTTCTTAAATAGTAGCGCTAGAAAGAGCTGATTATAATCTAAATATTTAAACTGCCAACTTAAGGCTGTGGGATCTTTCATAATTCGATCCACTAGTAGTAATACTTTCGAGAGCCAAAAAGCTTCACCAGGGGTTACAGTAGTGAATATAGTTGTATGTGCATTTCCCGCCTATAGAGGTTAGAGACTTTTAGTTATCCCAAACGAGATGATAGCTAATGATCAAGGGCTTGTTCCACAAGCGAAGGGAGGGAGTCTAATCTGTTCAGGCTTTCTCTTTGGAGATGTTTAATTTACAGCTGTTTACACCAGTACATGTGTCACCGTCCTTGGCCTGGAATGAAGACCAAAGATGACTAGGGCCATGACCGCCAGGGACAAGCCCGCTCCACCCCAACCGACCCAATTTCCGAAGACATGTTGTGCCACGGCGACGTCATCTCCACGCGGCGTCTGCCCTACGCAACGCACAAAGAACGCGTTCCCTGATTCTGGGTTGTCAAACAGCGCCGCAGTAACGATGGCGATGATAGTCGGCGCGTTACCAACTGACCGTAACCACACGGCCAACACACGGCTGGCCACCATGGGGCCCGACCGGGCAAAGGCCATAGCATACGCCGGGATGCCTGGCCAGTGGTGGTCATGGGTCGTCAGGGCCAGTTTGATGACGAACGGATGGCCCGGGGCACTGGCCATCATGTCCGTGCCGACGCCGTAGGCCCTGCCCTGGGGCAGAAGCAGCTGCACAGGGGCCTGCACTTGTTTGGCCGTGAGCAGAGGCTCTAGGGAACGACGGCAGCCCAGTTCGGGATCCAAGAAGACCCCCCCGTAGTGCCAGAGAAGGAAATAGCGGAGCGCATCAACGCGCTGCAGCGGCAGAAGATGGTCGGTGTAGGTGGAGAGATACCACGGAAAATGTCTGCCGATGAACTGGTGTGCGGTCTCATCGGTCCAGATGTACTGCTGGTACTCGGGGTTCTGGACCCGACAGGAGGCCGTCGCATTGCTCCATTCCTCTGGAATGTCCGATGTGAGGTGTCGCCACATTCGATGGATGATCCGCGGAATGGTCTGTGCTGTAGTGGAGCTGTTTTGGGCGCTCTCTGTGTCGTCGCTGATAGAGGGGGGAGCCCATTGAATCGGCTCGACGAGGGCGGCTGCTTGCAGCCTGACTGCTGGGGTGGGCTCTGGAGCAAGATGCTCGGGAGCGAGAAGACTCTGATGTAGCGCTGTGCTGAATTGAATGAAATGAGCCAGCCATGACAGGCAAGAGATGAGGAGGTACAACGCGACACAGGTCAGGAAGGGACCTTGACGTGCTCGAACCACGATGGGCTCGAGGCTGGAAGACCAGAAAAGAGGTGGAAGCAAAGACCAGCACTGCATGGCCTGCCGCTTCAATATCTCACTCCGAAGCATCACGCCGGTGCTCCAGGTCAAGACAGACAAAAGAGGAGGATCAAATCTCGACCTCTGAGCTCGGCAAAAGAGGGTACTGTACAGGATCAGAGGGCTATGAGAATGGGTGGCTCAGATAGACTGTGTTTGTCCTTGTCCTTGTCCTTGTCCTTATCCTTGTCCTTGTCCTTGTCCTTGTCCTTGTCCTTGTCCGTGTCCGTGTCCTTGTCCGTGTCCGTGTCCGTGTCCGTGTCCGTATCTCCACTAAGCGAGCGAACCTATTGCAGCTAAGTCTCCTGAAATCCTTGGCAAGGGTGGCCAAGAGATACCCCGATACCACTTGAGATTGATGGTAGATCTCCGTAACGGTATTATCACAGACTCAGCCACCAAAATGCAGAAGGCACATACGGACATGGACACGGACAAGACTCCCACCCACCTTGAAGTGCTGGTGCCTGCTGACTTTTGTACTATCAACTTTATGTTTAAGTATCGTTCACTTGGAGCCCTAACCTTTCCTCCAGGCAGTGTTGTCATTAATCCTCCACCATGAGTAACTCAACCGATCCTTCCGACTATTGCACTTTGGAAATCTGCCCCATCACAGAGGCCTACGTTTACTATGTCCCATCATTGGCCGGCAATGCTTTCTACTTGGCTTTATTCGCCGTGCTACTGGGCGCTCAACTGATCCTGGCCGTGCGCTACCGGACGTGGGGCTACTTAGCCGGGCTGTTTGGCGGCCTCGTCCTCGAGATTATCGGGTATATCGGACGTATTCAATTGCATTCCAACCTGTTCCGCTTCAACCCATACCTTGAGTACGTTTGTCTTCTCCCGCCCAACTGCACCTGGCCCACAGCTTCCTGTCCTAGCTCTGACCATAATACCAGATACCTGATCTGCCTCACCATCGGCCCGGCCTTCCTCAGCGCGTCCATCTACATCTGCCTGGGCTGTATCGTGAAAGTCTACGGAGAGAGCATCTCTCGCCTTCGCCCAAAGACGTACACGATTGTCTTTGTGGCTTGCGACTTGATATCGCTGATCTTACAGGCAGCAGGCGGAGCCATTACCTCAGTCGCAGATGCCGATCAGTACGATCTCGCCCAGGATGGCATCAACATCATGATAGCCGGGCTTGCTAGCCAGGTGGCTTCTCTCGCCCTCTTCATGGCCATCTGTCTCGACTATGCGTGGCGGGTGTACAAGAACCCGGATGACCTGAGTTCCGAGACGTGTATGCGTGGTCTTCGCCATAGCATTAGATGGAAGGCCTTCCTGGCGGGTAAGCACAACCTTTGGCATTCTGATCCTGCGCAAAGTGCTTACCCTATCTTCCTAGGGCTGGCTCTTGCCACTGTAACCATCTTTGTGCGATCGGTATTCCGAGTCGCCGAGCTGAAAGGGGGATTTCATAGTTCGTTGGCCAATAACGAAGTGCTCTTTATGACTTTGGAGGGGGCAATGATTGCTATCGCAGTTATCTCTCTGACCGTGCTCCATCCAGGCTTCTGCTTCGATGGCCTTTGGAATCAGACCAGATGGTCTTTTCGTCAGTCTAGAGACAGTGAGATGCAATTGATTGAGGTTAATGCTGGACACGAGGCGAAGGCTCAGCGGGCTGACTCGGGTATGAGTTGAGAATCCGACTTGTGACTTATTCCTGTCCCTGCTTTCTACCCTCCGCGAACGAATTCTTTGTCAGCCCGTGTATAGCATTCCAAACCCCGTACTCATGTTTAAGGACCTAAACTGGCACGTCCGTTGTCATTTTTCTTTCTGCTTTTGTACCTTGCCATGCATGTCTAGACGGTTTTCGGAACAGGTTTGCCCATTTTAGAATACCTTCCACCCCTTGAGGCACTACCAACAGCACCTCTGTGTGATATCCGGGATTACAAGACAGACACGATGCAGACCGGGGGATTCTCCCATACAACCCATTTATCTTATGTCTTGTTCAAGTCTGCGAATAATCTACTCCTAGTACACTCTCCTCACCACCGAGACAAAAGCCACGTCGCCCTCCGGCCCCCAACTCCACGACGCGGCGGCCACCACCGCCAGAACCGGGGTCGACAACTTGGCGAGCATGAACCCCACTGTGCGCCACCAGCGCCGCCGTCGACCTGCCAGAAATTGCTCGGTGTTATTGACATGGGGGAAGGGCACATCGGGTACGGGGACCCCCAGAAACTCGCACAGCGGCCCCCACCCATCGCGCGGGTTGAACATCAACAGCCGCTCAGCCGGCACCGCGTGTTGGATCCAGGCGTAATAATCCAGGTATGCCTGGCGCTCCCCTTGTGGAGCAATCAGGGGTCGTAGCCCGTGCTGGAATTTGTGGTATTTCCACCATCGCCCGATCACATACTATGTTGTTTGATTGTCAATACAGAAATCTTTTTCCAAATCTCGATTAGGGTTACCCCCACCAGAGTCTAGTTTGGGGGGTGGAACGTACCGGATCCCAAGGGGCCAACCAGTCAAACGATTTCCAGGAAACTGCAGAATCCACCGACTGCCGCATGGAGCGCAGCCACCGATCCACCTCGCGGGTGCTGACCACCACCTTGGCTTCGGGGTAGGCCTTGATCAGGTCAGCCGCGACCAGGGTCCCCCGAATGTTGCACGAGACATTGGACCCGTCGAGGGGGGGCACTGAAATTGAGAGCTATTGGCTTACAGATCGTTCCGGTGCGTGGCATTCCGAGGAGGAGGACCTTCATCTTGGGAGGTGTCTTAGGCGCCGGGATTTGATCAATGAGACGAGAAGACATTCTTGGGACTGTCACAAATGTTTGAAACTGAACAGCACACAACCATACCTCATTGAGATAAATGCCCGAGTCAGGGGCCAGCTGGCGAAGGGCAAATAGCCCCTGTCATAGGTCATGTTATGGATAGCCTGCTCGGCGAGATCTGAGGGAAGGGACTCGTCCCAGCTTTGCGAGACTATGAGATGGACGACGGAGTCTCTCCACGCCGGGTTTAAGACGTTATCTACGGGACCTGTCTGCCATTCATGGTGACCAATATTGAGGGAGTGGCTATGCCCTGGTATATATCTTAGTACGAGACGCCGTCCAAGTGAGGGGAAGGAGGTAGCAGGGGGGGAGGATTGTGGTCGCACGGGGAGTACAGCACGGTTAGCTTACCTTCGAAGAGTCATCACTAGGCATGAGGTCTTTCAAAGTCCTAGCAAAAATCCCAACGTTTTCAATGACAGCCCGCCGTGGGATGAGCCTCGAGGCTTTAGCGCCTTGAGTCGTCCCCGCAGATTCGATCGCTGGCATGGTCTGAACAATGTCATAACATGGCGCAGTCATCAAAGACTTCACCGTCGATTCCACAGAATCATCATGAGCGCGCAGGAAATCCTGAATCGGACTGAGCAGTCTCTCAGCCGTTCCATTCTGAGCGTTGTAGAGAAGGAGGGAGCCGTTCATTGCGGGCGGGGAGCCTCCCATGGTGTAGTAACCATGTATCCCGGAGCGGAGTCCTGGAGTTGCGCCAGATACTGGTGGCTCTTTGCGACCAGTCCATACCATGCATCCGATGTGGTTCCGTTCTTGGGAGCGATGGAAAGATTGATGAGCGTTCATGGTGACTGAGAGAGTGACCCCAAAGGTCCCGCCACCTCCTCCACGAATCGCCCAAAAGAGGTCCTGGTTCTGGCACGCATTGACAGTGACTTGGTCTCTCTGTGGGGTGATCATCTCGGCTTTGATAATGTTGTCCGCACCCATACCGTACTGTCTGGTCGCCAGGCCATGCCCGCCGCCAGTAGCCCATCCGACGACGCCAACAGTCCATGTGATATTAGCAGCAATATCCCATCGGTGCGTCGATTTCTCCCGGGTCTGACCGGGTTCGTGCCGCCGACAGAAATGGCACTATGCTTTGCTAGGGCAGCGTATATTTTCTTCATCCTGGACATCAGCACCTAGAATGGCGGCAATCTTGGGGCTGACGATTAATGTTTGCATTGTTGTTGGAGTAGCTGACCGGTTTGGGTGGACAAAAGGCGAACCCATTGGAGCCCGAGTGGCAGTCGTCACTCTTCGGTAACCATTACCCCCGGCTCCAAGCGATCAAGAGCAGGTATGATTCAGCTGGACTTCTCTGGTGTCGTCGTTGTGTCGGTAGCGAGGCCAGGGAGGAGTCGGACGAGGGAGAGCTCTGCCGCGCATTCTGATATGGGGAGGGTTTGGCGACGTGAGGGGTCGTTTTCTCGCACTCTGCAACTCAGCATGAAGTGTCATGTCAAAGGGAAACCCGGCTATCAGTATCAAAAATGAAACTTAAGACATGGGTGTTAGAGATTGAAAGCGTTCCCGTGCACAGATGCTTAAGCCTGAATTGAAGCATAGACACAAGGAGAGGCGAACAACATTAAAATTAAGATCCGGCACCTATGACATGGAACGACGCAGAGTCCTTCTCCTTGCGATGACTTCAGTCGTAGGAGTAGTCATCATCGTCCAACACACTCAGGCTAATTCCCATGCGATTTTCCGACCATTACTTTATTCCCACCTCCAAGTTGGGTGTAATGGCTTTTCTATCCGTGATGTTCACTTGGTGGTCCAGCTCTGGGAAGATCCCCTAATCGCGAGCCAGGTGCGTCATCTAGAACTTTGCTGGTCGGGATCGGAATGTTATCAATGTGGCTCGAACTTCATGAGACAATACGAGCCAGAGTACGAATCCTCTAGCGACGAATTCGACCCACTAGAGGATAATGTGGCTCATTTCATTGACCGTGCCCTCGCGACGATTTTTGAGAGCCCAGAAGAACGAGGTCTCCAACGGCAATTTAGGAAGCACTTGCACGGAATGTGCCAGCAGGCATGGATTGCGCTTCTGCTCATTCCCCTGGCCAATCTACGCACCATAGAGTTCACGCACGAGCATTCTTCCTATCTTGTCTCACCGATTCTTCTCAAGGCTGCGCAGCACCAGCCTCCTTTTCACAACCCCGCAAGGCTTCCATTCCCCCATCTCCACGAAGTTCGCGCGAACTGCGCCTGGCGCGATTCTTATATCTACGAATCCTTCCTAGCGCCCTTTTTCTATTTCCCCGCCGTTCGCCGGATAAGTGGCAGCTACATCAGGGAGGATGGAGGGATTAGGAACTTGCCGCTTCCCATTTACCGGAAAGCACGCAGCGTGAAAGAAATTGCTATTCAGATGGTCTACTCTTCCCACACGATCCTCCGCTGGCTTGTGGCGAGCCCCGGTCTCGAGCACGTTGCGTTCCAACTCTCCGTTCACCGTGACGACGATATGTGGACTGATTTCGATGCATCGCAATTCCGGAAAGCTCTTCTTCTCTCTCGACAGACGCTGAAGACCCTGCGTCTGGAAGTGGATGAGTATTTTGATCGGGCAGTTACTGATTACCAAGACGAGAAAGAGAAGCCGTTTGGCGCATTCACGAATTTTACTATGCTCCAGGACCTGGTCATCCGGCATGCACACCTCACAGGGCGATCTTCCGACATCGCAGTCCAGGATATACCGCGATTTTTAGTCGAGATGCTTCCTGTCTGCCTGAAACGCCTCACTGTGAAGGATATTATGGGCGAGGATCTTCCGGATTTGCTGGTCATGCTTCAAGGGTTGGTGCAGCACAGGGATCTCTTTTGTCAGCTCGAACAAATCACATTGTGTGCGGGTTGGCTGGATGATGATCTGATAAGTCCCCTGAGAGTGGCTTCCGAAGCTGTGGAATTTCCGAGAACATAAGCTCAGGGCGCTTAAGGTTTCTGCGGAATCTTCTTCATGTCGAGAATACTCCCCAATAGATATGAGCACTTCACAGGGTAAATCTTCCATAGTGTTGGCGTTTGTTCTGTCATAACATCACAACATGGCTGGCTGGTCATGTATAAGTATATCCGGGTCGGTCTAGGCAACAGGCTGCTCATAGACCTGGGCGCCTAGATTGGTGCCTAGATTCTAGGGAACCACACCCTCTTGCATAAAGTCTTGGCGCAGATCTTGGTAGTGCCAGCACATCCTATCTTGCGCATTTTAGCCCGCGTTAGCCGCCAATACGAAAATGAAAATTTCCCGATTTTGTTCGCTTTCACGTGGTTGCAGTAGTGGGCATGCTAGGCTATATGCAGCTAGTTGCGCGAGGTTGCACGACCAACCTGGTCCAGTACACAGCCTGCCAGCGCCAGTGCAATTACAGCTATTGGCGCACAGATGACGATAACTATCTGTGCCCCAACGGGTACGGTCCGTTCGTCTGTTCTGGATGGGCTGGGCTCGTTACGAGAAGTAAGCCGGGCTGGTAGTCGGTAATTGATAAAATGCCAGTTGATGTCGTGAACTCACAAGAGTCATGGTCAGGGTAAGTGATGTACGGCCCGGATGTTGTTGTCGGCCCGCCCGGTGATTTGCTGCACCCAGTAGGTCCCATCGCACAAACGTATCCACTGAGTCGTGTGTATCAGCAAGGCGTGGCGGGCAGTGATGGGTGACATGGCGGTTGAAGCCTACTACCAACCTGGGGCAGCACTTGTATGCCGTCTCCCCAAACTGCAAGACCTTCCACATTTCCCACATCGTCGGGTCTGCGAGGTCCGAGCTAAGCTCCATCCCTCGAGTCATTTGGCAGGCTGTCGTGAATGGAGATGGAGTCCCCGGCGGTATAGCAGATGGAAGGCAACTTGGGTCCTCTTGAATCAACAGAGCGAGAGCGTCCCCGTACATTGCGGTGGTGCAGTGCTTGCCATACACGTATGCATATGGGTGGGAATCTGAAATCCTTGAGCCACTGTGAATGGGCTGAAAACATCGGGGTGTTGGTGTGAAGGTCGTCGTGAGAGGACCGAGATTTGTAGTGGGCCACACGGCGTATGCATCATAAACGCTATTCCGGGTAGTTGACATGCTGATATCCCTCGTACCAAGATCGAGGGTCAAGGACGAATCCGCCTAGAGAAACACTGCTTACGGAGTACAACCCCCCTTCAAGCTAGAGCAATGGTACTGGGCCTATTATTGGGTGGAGAGCGGCAGAGCGGCGCCTACTAAGATATATGACGGCCCCCAAATGCAATCACCCGTCACGCTTTGACCAAACCCTCTCAACCAACAGGATGAAACCCCACAGCCCTGGCTTCACATCATCCCGGCTTATTCCTTCGGTCTAAATTCGCCTCGAAATTTATAATTTGAAGCGCCCCCCCTAAGGTTCAACTTCCCATCTTGCCGTCCTTGGCCTTACATGCGTTTCCGAACCTGTTATTCCTCCTTCTAAGGAGGAGTTCTGTGACAGAGATGCCCGAAACGGAGACGCCGGGGCAACGTGGCATAAAAATGAACCCGATCGCAGGTTTTTCTGCAGTGTCCCATCCCTTGCTCGCTTCGGAAGAGAACCTAGATGAGGGGGTCGTCCAGTCACCGATTGATAACAGAGGGACAAAGGCAGCGCGCAGCAAGCCGATAACCCACCGTGGTAGGAATTATTTCCAAGGCTGGAAATTCACCATTTTTGGAGCCTTCACAGCAAGCTTTATTGTCCTGTTCTTCAACTTGGGGTTTCTACTCTACTGTGTCACCCATTCAAAACATGATGCCGTCGATCTTTATCCGATCGCAGAGCAAGATGCCTATCGAGCGCAGATAAAGCACCAGATCGGTACGCTTCTTTTCGAGGGTAACTGCGACGAAGTGCATCGCTTGAGTACAGGGTTCCACCTTGTGATAAACATCTTGAGTACCACTTTGCTGAGTGCAAGCAACTTTGGAATGGTATGTGGAAAGATGCCCCATTCAAACTTCCCGGAATGTGCATTGGGGTGCTCAAAAATTCATGTAGCAATGTCTAGCCGCACCAACACGGCATTATATAGACCGAGCACACGAAAATGGCCGCTGGTTTGATGTTGGGGTTCCGAGTATCCACAACCTTTCGAAGATATCCAGGATACGCTTATGCCTATGGCTATGCTTGGCGTCGTCATCTCTACCGTTCCATCTTATGTACACTTCCTCCTTGCTGCCCGACTTCGAATTGTTGCTGAGCTGGAAATCACAGGTACAACTCGGCCATATACTCCACGACGTCAGCTACCGCCTACGATATCTTCACCGGCCCAGATTCTCTGGGGCAACAAGAGTTTTCCAGCCTGAATTTGACGTATTTCTACGACTTGGATACGGGGGAAAACGCCTCTTTCCATGAACTCTACTCATCAGCCAAAAATGGGAGCTTGCACCGCCTCAGCAACGATGAATGCATTGCTGCATTTGGAGTGACGTTCCAAAGTGCGTACAGAAGATTACTGCTCGTCACCGATGATCCTGGCAGCAACGATATCTATGAATTTGTCTACGAAAATAGTGTCTACCTTCCGATTTTCAACACAAGACCAGGTACAAGCCCATATGCGTGGATATGTGGCAACTTATTGCAAGAAACTCATAACCTCTGTAAACGTTCGGACTCGCTTGAGATTCTCCCGAGATCACTCAACAATGATTGGCCAGTTGCTATCCCAAATGCTAATAATGTGGCTTCTGATACTATCGTCGATGTCCAATATTGCATGGCGGAGGCGAATGACGGGTATTGCAAGCTGCAGTATTCATTCCCGCTGATTATTATCGTGATAGCATTCAATTTGGTCAAGAGCAGTATTCTAGCCTACATGTGGCTCGGGATCAGGAATGCCCCCATCCTGACTATTGGAGATGCCATTGCGTCTTTCTTACATCGTTCGGATCGCCACTCGCGGAGAGGCTGTCTTTTGACCGGCCGCGAGGCTAGCTCGAGGAATACGCCGACCCAGCCCTTACATGAACCGAGAGCATTTCGAGACACGCGGGTAATATGGAGCAAGGCTGCCTCTGGTCGCCGATGGGCATGGAGCATAATACTTTGGCTGACAGCAATCGCCGTCTGCGTCGGGCTGTTGATCTACGGACTGAGCGCGGCGGGTGGAACGTCATCGATCGACTGGCAACAGGCGCTCGGCTCGTCCACTTCGAAAACCATCATATACGGCGATAACTGGCCAAGCTCCTTGATATCAAACGTGTTGATCGCCAACATGCCTCAACTCATTTTCTCATTCCTGTACTTCGCTTTCAACGCGCTGATTACGACGATGACCCTGGCCGCTGAGTGGAGCGGCTATGCCCAGCAGCGAAAGGGCCTCCGCGTCTCACAAAACCCGCAGCGAGAGCAGCGGACGAACTACTTCCTCTCCATCCCGTATCGCTATTCAATTCCCTTGTTGATCACCTCCACCCTCTTACATTGGCTCATCTCCCAGAGCTTGTTTATGATTGGAATCGAAGCGTTTGGAAGCGATGGGTTGCGCGCCGCTGCAAGCGATTTCATCACCTGCGGCTGGTCCCCCGCGGGGATGGTCGGTTCTATCGTGGTCGGCTTGGTGATGGTCTTGGGCGTGTTCTGTCTTGGGCGCCGGCGTTTCGAGTCTGCCATGCCAGTTGCATCGAGTTGCAGCCTCGCGATTACGGCGGCATGCCACCCGTCATTTGATCCGAACATTGACGACGAAAGTAGAACCAGGTACGACGGAGCAAACTGGGACTCAGAGCTGGAGGAGGAAGACCGGTCACTCGCACGAGTCAAGTGGGGCGCTGTGCCTGTCAATGGTCCCATCGGTCATTGCACGTTCACCGATGGCGACGTCGAGATGCCTCGGCAGGGAGAATTATACCAGTAGGCATGCCGGTTGCAGGTCTCTCGGCATGCTGCCCCCACTCTCGATGACTGGCTTTTGGCTACATCTACAATACCGACAAGCAGATGATGAAGGATCTTTTTTTAATCAACGAAACTCATCCATGTGATGGCTTTACGAACTTGAATCAGGAAATCAATTTCGCTTCTCGGAAAACACAAGAGGCCCTTTATCCCGCTCTAGTGCGACGCGTATTTCTTCCGATATGTGCAGCAACTGACCGACGTTCCTTAGCGATGCGGTCTCATGCTCGGGAGTGGTGTCAAGGTGGCTCATAGCCAAGGCGATCACCGAGTCCTTTCAAAGAATAGCGAGCTGTCGCCGGCTGGCTAACGGAATGTTGGCCAGCCCAGTCGGCGAGGTGGGGTGCACAGTGATAGAACGGGTCTTTCTGGCAAGGACCTGTTGTGAGAAAATATCAAATGGCCGAGTTAGGATCGTCACCATGGCGTAAAAAGTGGCCAGATGGATTCCGCGGAGGGTCCACAAAACCCCGAGACTTCCCAAGGGGCCTCGTGATGCCTGGTCAAAGACATCGATATTTCTAAGCCGGCGCCTTTTGTTATTCTCAGTATACCAAAGCCATTTCCCTTGGCTAAGAGCACTGGATAACAGGGCCAACAGTGCCGCGCGAGTCGCTGCGGTAAGTCCGGCCACCAGACTGTTGAGTATCAACGCGCCGAATGGCCATGCCGTAGCCGAGACACCATCGTAGTGGTGGAGGATCACAATCGAAATCGAAAATGAGCTCAGAGGCACAAAGGCGGCTAGAACCTCTGGAGACCAGGTTATCCCATCGTACTATCTAGGGGATTTGAGGATCTGGGAGGCGCCAGGTCCTGTTCTCCGTTGTTGATGCTCATCGCTGTCTTTTGCATAGGGAATAGATTGAGCGGGGTCTGACTGGCTGGGTTCAGTCATTGTGTAGAAGAAAGAGGTGAAGGAGAAAGAGGAAACGGTGGGGGTGTGCAGCATGAAGAGGAGTGGGGAAAGGAAGATACGACAGGTAGCGTAGATATCATGGATGTATTGCTTGAATCGTTCCGAGCACTTTTGGCCCCCCACCTGTTAACAATCCATTTTGTCAACCCACCATTGTCGTGCCCACTACGCTAATGGGCTTGGTCGGCTTTGGCCTAGTCAGTGGACGACTCTTTACTTGTGTCTGCATGGAAGCTTTCGGCTCATCGTCTCTTCAGCTAGGGCCTTGGCTGTGACGCACGGAAATGAGAAGCCATGTTTCGAATGGGGAGGCAAATTGAAGAGGGTGGCTCTGGTTTCTCTGGTTTCCTCGGGACCACGTCTTTACGTCGATAGCTCGCTAAAACTTATATTGTTGTCGCATTAGACAGTCTCAGTTGATTTCGCCGTTCGCCATGGCCCACAAACCCCTGTCGTTCTGACTCATAGCCCCCGCTATGTCCAGGCCATGGGATTGAAGGATAGAATAGACCCCTTGACACCATAAGAACATATCCCTATCACCACAGTCAATGTAGCATTTACTGGCTTGGGAAGTCGCAACCATCACGGCGTGCCCCGATGACATCTGGTTGCTGGGTTGCATGCAAAATGCTACCGCGCGGCATATCTCTCCGGCACATTGACGCATACGAGTAGCGTCCGCACATTTGTTAATGGTCTTTTCGGCTTGTTAGACACATCGGCCAAGTACCGTGCGTGCTATCCAGAAGAGCAGGAATATTTTCGCGTTACTCAAGGCTGGGAATCTATACGGCTTCATGCTTGGATCCGGGGGCAAGAGCGTAGGCTGGCAGGCCAAGTCGCTCCTTGGGCAAAGGGAGGGGAAATCATCAAGCTCAAGCCGCTCGAATGTGATCCCTGAGTCGAGCGCTAGGCAGTGATGCAGCAGCCTTTTACATTTCGAGTCACGGTCTGGTGCTTGGTGGTGCGCGAGTATTGCCGCCAATTTTCGATCTGTAACGCCCCACACTCGCGGAGTAGATCAAAAGTCTTATCCATTGGAGTTTTATTCAGCCCGAGCGTTAGACAAGCCCAATCCACGTCTCGCTGGAACTTGGGGTCGAAGCCAAAACATGTCTAGACATTCGATGAGTCGACGTAGCCCTGAAGACACAACAATCGGGCGGGTCAGGGTTAATAGACTTACGACGCAACACTTCTGGCGGTTTAACATCGAAGTCACCAAATCTTTGTCCCTGCATTGACTGAGGTCAAGCTGCTTCAAGACAGCAGAGACCCCTTGAACATGTAAAAAACAGTTGCGTAGGGCATCGCCCCCACCGTGCATAGTCTAGAGCTGCTTCGTCAAATCTTATATCTCCGAGCCAGATAAATAGAGTCTGATGGATGCGCACCTCATATGCACTGAATACAATTGTCGCGTAGAGAATATCTAGCGATGGCTTGCGATTTCGATGGATAATCTGCGCCAGCATCTTCAGCCCGCTGTTATAGAGCTCAAGCCCATGACGGGCCAGATTGGCATCGCCAGTCTTTCCTCCCAGATAGACCGAGACCAGTGAGATGATGGACCGGTCGAACAGCTCAGACTCTCCTGCTAGGTTTGGAAAGCGACTCATCAAAAAGTACCAGCTATCATCCTCGCCATTAAGATAGATATTGGGCGCGAAGTAGACCCCCATGTAAGTCGAGAACAGCTGGGTTCGCACTTCGGCGTTCGTGTTGAACACTGGGGCTAGGGCCAGGGGTTTTAGATGGCTCACAAGCTGAGCAACAGGTCTTGAGGACAAGGCAACTCCATTACGTTCCTGGCGAGAAACTATCGTGTGGTAGAGAAAGTTTCGGTGCTGATCATAACCAGGGCATAAGATACCTTTTTTCTTGCACCTAGCACATTCTGGCTCTCCAAGATCACACTACAGCGATATATAAGCACAAAAAGCGCTACTTTTGAAAGTGAGCTATAGGAGACAGTACCTTGATTCGGCGTTTCCTGCAATTTGCACAACCTTTAGATGTGTAAGGGGGGCCGCCCATCTTCCCCTGGTGATAAAGTGATTTGGGGCTGCTGGATACGCGATCAGGGATGTTAAAACGGTCGGGATTATTTTGATCCTTCCACCTGCCGTTAACGACAGGTCTTATAAGTAATTAGGTAGTGCGTGTTTGGCAAGCTTTGTAAGCCCCTCCAAAAGCAGAAGATGGGGGCCGGGGACCGTGCGCGGATCGCTTGTGGACCACGAGATTAATTCTCGCGCCTTGCAGTTTGGATTTCGCCCCCATAATCAGATCTTTACCCGTCCAGACTAGGTGCGATTCTTCCTGCCTCCTCGTGCATTCAGTCAGCAGAATGGGTCCCTTCCAGCACGTGACTATAGCACTTAGATAAAAGAACGAGTAACTTAACTATCCGCTAGGATTCATCCCCTGCCCCAGATAGGGCAAGTATTCCGCGAATGCTATTGTGACGGCGAAGAAACCCCGCTGGCAGTGAGTACATGGGTGGTGCGGAGAATGGGGGATGTCGGGATTTCGAATACGCTCCAGGCTAACAGGATCCTATCTTATCGTGGGCCTTGACTCAAGGAACTCAAATCTCTTTCTGTCCGCCTCAAAATGGTGACCAAAGTGATGAGACCAAATCCTTTATGGTTGTTGAGGGGGATATCTCTATCCGTCCCTTCTCAACGTCCTCCTTCATTAGCCGCCCGGAGGTCGCGTGTTAACCCTTCGAACTGCTCCCGGAACTCTTTTGCAATCAAACAGACCGATTTGAAGTGGTCTTTGCGCAAGCTACCATCCCCTTTCTCGCTGACCGCGAGGGCGGGGGCGCCGTTGACCATATTTCGGCTCTGGCGACCGCTGAGCTTATGATCACCGCGACCCTTCCCTTCCATCACATCCATGCTAGTGTATTTTCCAATAAAAGAGATATAAATACTAACTTAAGAGTTTCATAAATATTTATACTTACTTAACTATATTATAAGATTATAAAAACAACTAAAAATTGGTTGCGTAAAAAGCCGCTATAGAAATTCTCTAGAAACTCTAATCTTAGTACTGCGTCTGGTTTTTTCTAGTCTACCTCTTGACGAGACATCCCTCCCCTGGGCAATCGATGAGATCTTGGATGTCTTGCGAAGAAAGCTATATTCCGAGGCAGTAGCTTGGGGAACAGTGCTGCGATGGTATCTATCCCGAGCGCCTCCAAATCTGGGCTTGGGGATAGCAAAATTCCCGAAGCAATACCGGTGGTTTTGCACCTAACGGTCGGTGGTCTTGTATCGTCCAGGTAGAGCACTACACTGGGCTGGGATAGACCGTACCTACGAGTATTCGTTACCCTAATGATCGTTCGTCATCGGCAAATCCGACAGCCCCCTCCAAACTCAGTCGGCAATCCCGGGCACGTGATCGCATTGGCCCCCCCCCAGAAAAAGGGGCTGGCTGGATTGTTAGGCAGAATTTCCCCGCAGCCAAGCAAGAAAATGTCTCAGAGCATAATTCAAGCTTATCTTCGCCTGCAGATTACTGCCAGATATGCTACATACAATCATGCATCATCTGCCGTTCTGAGTGACTATCTTTCCCTTCGGCCACCTTGCCCCTTAAGCCGGCATCATATTTCCCTTTAGCACCGACATCCGACCATATTAAGATCAATTCTAAACGCCAACCCTTTTCTTGCTATCACAGCTACCCGACCAAAACACGCAGCAACTGACCCCCCCCCCTTTCCCGAGCAGTATGCTCACTTCTTCGTCCCTGATCCCCATAAGCGCAGCAGATCCGAACACGCAGCCATACTACCGAACCGACCGGGCAAGGGCTGCCCCAGTCTCGCCGACCGGTGCTCCGGGAGCTGCAGCTGGTTGAGCCACGCCGCCAACCCCACCCCCGCCTGCGTCGCGTCGTATGCCAGTGCCACCGCGGCACTGACCCGCCGGGACGGCTTCCTCCCGCTGAGCGCACGCATTCCATCCTCGATGCGCAGCACGTGTCCGCGGTATGCCAGGTCCTTCATCTCCAGCGATCGCAGCCCGGGGAGGTCGTCGCGGATGCCGTCGCAGAACTGGCGCCAGAGGTCGCTGACGGCGTCGTAGAAGGGGTTCGAGCGGGTGGGGGGGTCGATGCGGTCGAGGAGGCTGACGCTCACGAGCGAGAGGGTCTGCAGGGTCGGCGCGGCGGTGCGGAGGAAGGCCCGGAAACTGGGCTGCGTGACTTCGATCCAATGGAGGGAGAGGGTGGACAGGCGCGTGAAGTGGATGTGCTGCGATAACTGGGTGAAGTGGTGGGCGGGCAGCTCGTCTTTCGTGCTCCATTGGGAGACTTTGAGGGTGGTAAGGGTCGGGGCGGCGGCGAGGAGGAGGCGCGGGAGCGGGGATTCGGTCGTGTCGGAGTGGGGGTCTGCGTATTGGAGGCATAGATCGAGGCTTTGAAGGGCTTGGAGATGGGGTTGGAGGGTGGTGTAGTGGGTGTCCGTTAAGGTGAGCTGTTCGGGGGGGATCCCGCAGTGTTCGCCTTCGCTGCAGGTGCGCAGCTGTTGGATCTGCGCGGTGGAGGTGGGGATGGCTTGCAGCAGGGCGGAGAAGACGGGCGCCCGGATGCTGCGATTCTCTTCACTCCATAGGTAGTCTGGGCTTCTTTCCCAGTTGTGAGAGATGTGTGGGTTGGCGAATGGGTGGTGGTTGAGTCTGCGGCGTAAGGCCTTACGGCCAAGACAGGGCGGCTGTTTGTGTCCTGCTGCGGAGGGAGGGTAGGTTTCTAGGCCGACGGTGGAGAGATTCGTGAGTTGCTTCATGCAGGTCGCGAGCGTGTGTGGGAGGGAGTCGGCTTGTATGAGTTGGAGGTGGTCTGCTACCGCGGATTGATACAATTCGTAGTCGGTTCGCAGGTTTTCGATCGCCCATCGAACCAGCTCGGTGATGGAACTGTGGGTGCCGTGCGCCACCGCTGGCTGGTCGAAGTACCCCGCAGCCATGAGCTTGGCCTGCACGAAAGTATCGTAGTCAACATCGTAGTGGCCTCGAAACACCTCGGGAACCAGCCAGAGCTCCTGCACGTGCGCTCGAAATATCTCGTGGGTGGCGATGGCTTCGAGTTCTCGAAGCCCGTCAGATGTGATGAGGACACTGATGCGCTTGACATGACGACTAACAAACGTCGCCAGCGATTTCGAATATAGCACCCGACATGACAGGCGGAGAGCACACCAGTCAGGAAGACCCAGATAGAACCACACAGCATCCAGGATCTCATTAGGAAGGTCAACGAGGGACATGTTGAGTGAGTCTCTCAGAGACTTCGGTGACCTGAAGGGAAGTGGAGAAGAAGGTGAAGTATGCAAGGGGGCAGGCGCCAACCGCCGTTCTTATTTGCTTTTTCATTTTACTCACCCCTCACTTGATTGACAGGGGAGGGGGTAAAGAAGGGGCCGAAAGGGCACATGAGCCACAGGAGCCTCATCGCGTGGGATTTCCCCAATTTAACAGTGAATGTCATACTAACTGAGCCACCGGCCCGGCTAATGTGGCCCTGTCCATGAGGTGATCCTCCACGATCCACCGCTGACGCTTACGTAGCCTTCCCCCCCACTTCAACACGTGCGAAAAGACCCCCTATGGACTGAATTAGAGTTCTCTTACATATTCCAGACGGAATCAGCTAGAGTCCCCAGAGAATCCCATTTCCGGACTAATTTCCGCAGACGAAGCTAACCCCCAAAGTAATATAAGGTAAGCCTTTCCGACGAGGCTGCAGGCTATAGTCCCCACCCGCGTATAGCTCTTAGCGCCGATGATCGCATTCATTTTGGGCAATTCGCTCGTCTAATTAATCTACTTATGTTGAAGCTGCACTATGTTTGCCTCGGAGTCGGAAGCTCTTGAGGTTTTCCTCCAGCTCAAATCTGCGTAGCTTCCACAGTACCGAATCAACAGTCCGACCGTCGGCAGTATAATCCCATTTCCTGAGACTTGAGATCTAGCTCCTGGGTGGCATGCAGTACCTCGTCAAAAGCGACATTCCACGAAAAGAACGTCGTTGGTTGGGCTGGTGTAGATGGCGTGATCTTCCTGGGGGTCATTGTGAGAGAAGAGTGTTAAGGGTCAGATGTGCTAACTCGGTTGTTTCCCGAAAAGGGGATTCTTGGAGAAATATCTTTATAGGCGTTGTAGAAGGCTGCCAGGATATGTCTGTGCAAGGGGAAATCTTTTTATTCCCCTGGTTGGCCGCGCCTCCACTCCGCCCGCTCGGATATGGCCCCAGGCCAGTTCGACTCCACCTTTCCGATGCTGCCCTAATCTTCTTGTGAGCGCTGGGCGCATCGAAACAGAGAAGTGTATGGATCTGTCTCGACTAGCTTTTCGACTATAGAATTATCTCTCACGCAAAGCACCATGACTGATACTTGCACACTCTGCATTTGCTCCATATTGAGGTGGAGGAGAGTTCCGACCCTCCCCAAAATGGATCCATGGTGGCGGTTGCCCTACGGGCGATAGCGAGCAACTCACAGCAGTCCGATAATTGGGAGTCACTCTTTTGGAATTTCATGTCAAGAACATCAACTAAGTTTGATAGCCTCAGTACGGAGTCAAGAGGGTCTGTGAAGTGTCCTACTCAGCTCATGGGGCTAGCCAACGTTACAGAGCATATGTATTGCTTATACGACCAAAACGCTATATACATCCCGTGATCCACCAGTCCCACCCCAACTCCTGCGATCCCAGAAATGTTCAAAAAGTTCAACAGCTGAAGAATTCAAAGTCCACTGCCTTCTGCGCAAAACAACGGTCGCGGGGCTTTCGACGCAGCGTTTGGTTGGGAGTTCATCCCGCGACAACACACCCATGGAAAATACCCTGAGCCTGAGGCAAAATCTTTGTACTCCGGTCCCCTCGCCCCTCCTCTTTCACATATTCGTAGCGTGTATACTAAGCATCATTGGCCTCAGCCTTCCGCTCCGCTTGCACTTTAGCCCAAAGCAACTGCGCCCCCGGGTGGTTCTGCTGGGCCATATACCCGATTGCATCCTCATGCTGCTGGAGAGCCAACAATTCATAGGAACCCTTTCCTCCCAGACTCCACTCGGGCAACGTCTCTCCATTGAGGGTGTAAGAATACTCCTCCCCCACCAGTTGGCAGCTGTACTGCTCCTGGGTCAGGCCCATGGGCAAGTAGTCCTTCTTGTGCTGCACGCGGTAGTTCACGACCGGGTGGATGTAGGCGCAGGTGGCACCGAGGACTCCCGTCTTCTTTTTCTCGTCGCGGTACATGTTGGCACTGGGCGCGCGCGGCTTCTTGCCATTGGGGATATACATGTTGGAGAAGCTGTCGGGCATGTCGCCCAGTCCCCAGGTATAGTGGCGCGTTTCGGTGCACGGGGCCGGGGTGAGGGGGTGCATGACGGCGGACCCAAGCCACCTCGCCCCGCGACCCAGGTACTCCCCCCAGGACTCGGTCTTGGCCATCTCCTTCTGCTTCTCCAGGGCCGCATTCAAGGTCGCAATCGTCGCCTGCCGGTCCGTGTAATGATCCTTGATGGTCTGTTCGCGGATGCCCACAAATGGCGCGATCTGGTCCAGCATCCAGGCGAAGACGATGTTCGACATCTCCTCCATGTCGCCGTAATTGTTCAACGTGTCGCTCGAGCCGCCGCCGATGTTGATGTGGTAGCCGGGGAACCACACCTGCGTGAGCTGCGGCGTGCCCAGATTGAGATGGTCGTCGCTGATCACCAGGTCGCGTCGGGCTTCCCAGACTGCTTTGCTGGCTAGGTTGATCTCCTTGGCCAGCTGATCCAGGGTCTCGTAGTCCGTCGGATACCGCTGGCCGTGCTCCTCCGCCTTCTTGACCAAGTCTCTTCTGAAAGCTCCGGCCTTGTTCAGGATAGCCTTCTTCTCGTTGACTTCCTTGGCGAGTCTCGCTCGGACTTCCGGGATTGAAGCGTCGGGATAATCCGAGGGTAAGCACCAGACCTCGGGGTAAAAGGCCTTGCGGTACTCATCGAGGGCCAGCGCCTGGAATGCATGCTTGATATGCCGCGAGAGGGTCACGTTGTGCCAACCGGGGGGGTCCTTCCACCACATCAGGTTCGCGGGCAGCTGGACTCCCGCCACCTCGGGAATCCCCAGCGCCTGGACGGTGTCATACACGGCCACGACCTCCACCCCGCGCGAGTCCGTCTGCGCCCAGCGCTCATTAGGGTGCATCTCCCAGGCCAACCCGGTGGCGGCACCGGGATGCTTCCGGTGTTGCTCGCAGGCCTTCCCGTCCACGAATTGGAAGTAGTCGTCGCTGTTGTAGAAGACCCCCTTCCGCTTCAGGTTCTTGTACTGCTTCCACAGGTCCGGGAAGCGGTGCAGCTTGTGCGGCTCGCAGATGCCGGCGTCGGCGATGAGTCCGGCGACCGCGCGGGCCGTGTACGCGCCGCGCGAGAAGCCAAGGCACAGGATCTTGTCGCCGCGGTTCCAGTTCATCGCGACGAAGTTGTAGGCCTCGACGATGTTGCCGTCCAGCCCGTCGCCCACGGCGCCCTCCAGCATCTTGCTGACGGCCAGCGAGGTGGTGCCCACCCCGGAGTCGTACCAGACCACCTGCTGCCAGTCCTGGCCGTCGATGTGGGCGACGGGCTTGATGGCCCGGCACAGGCGCGTGATGTTGGAGGGGGAGTTCTGCTGCCCGGACACGGCCGTCTGCCATGTTCCGTCGAAGCAGAGGATGATCCGCTTGGGAGCGTATGCGGAAGACGTAGTCCGAGCCATCCTGCTGGTTGAAATATGCAAGTTTTTGAACAACTTGGTGACAGATTAGCACACTTACCCGGGAACTCTCTAGCAGATTTATATTCCTGGGGGTGAGTGATGGAGGGATTTACCCCTGAGAAATGCCGGGTCGGCAGGATTGCCCCCGTTTGGTGTCTTCGTATACTCAGCTGGCGGCCATCCGCCACGCTACCGGGGTCTAGCCCTCTCCACATTTTCTTCAGCTGTCCCCCAACCCTGCCAACCACAGATAACAAGGTTCCCACTTTCTTTCAGCTCTGAGCTGGGGCCTGACGGGCGATCCGATCGCGTGGCGAGTGCATGGTTCTGGCCGCGGCGGATCGGCTATTTTTGCCCGCTTGCTTTGGCACGGGCCGGCGCCTAATGCGGGCTTATCGAACTATCGATCTGTCACCTGAGCTAATGGTGGAATTGTCGCCACTGTCTCGTAGAGCTGTGTTTATGCATGTTCGAGATGTATTTGTGTATGCATTGTGGCGTGGTGTGGTGTGATACCTCCGGTTTTCGATGTGGATGACTCTGCCATCTGACTCGTGTGACCCCGGGTTCAAGGGTTTCTTGCCTCAGCGCATTTTCTCCGAGGCTATGCCTCGTCCGTATCTTGCTTACGGGCGTGTCTGCTTACTGCACAGGTCAGCCATCTACATCTTCATCGACATGAGATAAACTACGTATTTCAAGCACGGACGCCACACATACCACCGACTTCTGGGATTGTGCGGAACCACCACTGACTAGGCTTTCCCACAAGAGCATCAACAGTCAAATTCCTCATACAGCTCGAAGGCTAGTGAGCATACATGATTCACCGAGTCACTGGTCGGGACATTTGGCGTCGTCTTCTCTTTCTTCATATCAGATATAATAGAAGGCAAGACTAAGCATATGTCCCCATGCTTCGCACAGTCCACCCACCGTGCAGGTATCTCCTGCCCTATGCGACCGCGTCGAACTTGCTGGCAACCGGGCAGCCGGGCACTTGCTTGTGATCTTCGCTGCTCCGTGGGATCAGATGCACCGGCTCGATCCTGGGATCTATCCGTGTCCGAGGGGACAGGGTCGCCGTCTCCATTACATCTACCTGGCCTACTTGGAACTTTTGAAGTCATAGAAAAGAGAGACTTCGCTGCGGATGTGGGAGATGGTGGAAATGCACTTGGATAGAGGTTTGTGTAAGCTACACTACAGAAAGATTTATCATAGTCTAGGATGACCGCAAGGGCTGGAGGGCGAAGGGCGCTCAGGCGGGTTTGTTGCCTTGTTGCCTTAATTGCCTTGATGCCATGGGGCATGGACTACGCACATAACGCAAGATATGGGTATGGTGGCTCAGTGGCAATTTAGGGCCCTGTCAGATGGAGAATGTGGTCAAGGTGCAATTTCATCGAGCAGATGGCGAAGAGACACCGAAAAGAAAAAACATACAACAGAAGGGATTCGCTGGTGGTCACCCACCCAACTACTAACCTCCCGGCGTGTGGCTTGAGTACGGCTGAGCGGACGGGAAGCCCTATTTTCCACACCCTGTGGTCGTATGTGCCAGAGACAACTCCGTAGTGGGCTATATTGTGCTTGGATCAGATGCTGACTTGGGGGTTTGTTTCCAGGTGGGGAGGATGTCTCTCGCTATAAGAACCAATTAAGACCGCCACTTTAGTTTCTTATACCTAGGACTTCTTTGTATCAAGCGCGGTAGAACCGGTCAAGGTCGAAAAGTGCGAGCATAAAATAAGACCAATACCTCGCGGTATCCTTGATAGCAAAGTTCGGTATGGCATTGACTGTAGCTAATGGCGGACTTGTCGCCGAGATGGCGAGCCGGGTCTCGGATTTGTTCCGACCAGTTGATCCCGTATCGAGACCGCTGTCTTTGTTTGTCGTCTGAGGCAGCGTGATTTGCTGCTTCAATGATCCAGATATTGCAGCTTACTGTACAGCCTGGTTCTTTTGGCCTTCGTATTGAAAGATGCGATGAGGTGTTCAAGGACGGATCTGTGGTGATGTGGCAGAAGGTATACCCGGTGACTGCTGGATGCGCTCACTCGACAGACTGACACCTACTAGTCAGCTCATCATGACAAATAGCTCTGTGGCAACCCTGGTAAGATAGATGACGTCTCTTTATGGCTGCATCGTACCCATCAACTGAACCCTGACACGGTTGCCTGGATTCAACCGGGATGGTGTGGGGGAGGACCGAATCTCCGAGTTAGTGGCGGATAAGCAAAGCCGGGGTAGGGCGACGCTTATTCGCTTCCCCGCGCGGCTGAAGTCTTTTCTCCATCCTCTAATTTCAACCTCCGCCACCTTCGCAGAGAAGCCAGTCTGAGAGATCTCCCTGTCTCTTTCACACCGGACAGGGCATTTGTACCTTCCACCATGTCGACACAGACCGAGACGATGACCGACTCGAGGGAGCTTGAATTCCGGGACGCTCCCCCCGACTTGCCTCGGGACAAGGATCTGAGAGTGTACGTGTGCGCCCTTCGTGACCATGCATGAGATGCCACGAGGTATGCCATCCCTTTTTCGGGTGCTGGGCTTACAAGGACTGCTCTCGCAGACAGCAACTCCTCGTCATCGGAGCCGGGTTCACCATCATGCTAACGACCAACGCGCTCATCTTCTCCGCCGGAGTCTACCAAGCGCTCTACGAGGAAATGGCCAGCGAGCCGGACAACCCCTTCACGGGCGCATCATCCGCGCTGATCGGGCTGATCGGCACCCTGGCCATCGGGCTGATGTCCATGACCGGGCCCTTCGTCATGATGTGGATCAAGCTCTTCCGACCACAAGCCGTGGTGGCCGTCGCGGGCGTCATCTTCGGGGTCGCCTACATCCTGGCGAGCGTGAGCCGCACCCTGTGGCAGTTCGCGCTCACGCAGGGCGTGCTGGTCGGCATCAGCGTGTCCATGTCGTACATTCCGGCGACCACGACCGCGCCGACGTGGTTCAACGAGCGCCGCAGCCTGGCGATGGGGATCGTCATCTCCGGCAGCGCCGTCGGGGGCATGATCTGGCCGTCGATCCTGACCGCCATGATCAACCACATGGGCTTCCGCAACGCGCTCCGCGTGTCCGGCGCCGTCTGCGCGCTGGCCATCATCCTCGTCTCGCCCGCCGTGCAATGGGAGCCCAGCTTCAACCAGCAGATCCTCGCCGAACGCCAGGCCCTGCTCCAGCGCCGCGGCGCCGGCCGCGGCACCCGGACCCGCTCCCGCGCGCTCCTCCAACCCCCGCCCATCAACTGGCGCCTCACCCGCACCCGGAAATTCCTCCTCAAAGCCGCCGGCTGCATGCTGCAGTCCGCCGCCTACTCGACCCCGCTCATCTACTACGCCGCCTTCGGCCGCGCGCTGGGCTACTCCGCCGGCACGGCCGCGAACTTCATCACCATCAGCAACGCCGCCAACGCCGTCGCGCGCGTGGCGCTCGGCTACGCGGCCGACCGGTACGGGCGCATGAACCTGCTCTTCGGGACGACCTTCCTCAGCGCCGTCGCCGTCGCCGCCTTCTGGGTGCCCGCCACCGTCGCGGGCGCCACCGCCGCCGGGAAGGCGCTGTTCCTCGCCTTCACGGTGCTGTACGGCGCGTTCGCCAGCGCCTACATCGCGCTCTTCCCGGCCTCGCTGATGGAGCTGTTCGGCAAGAAGGACTTCACCAGTGTCAATGGCGCCCTGTATCTGGTGCGCGGGCTGGGCGCGCTGCTGGGCACCCCGCTGACGGGGCTGTTGATCCCGCAGAGCCGCGCGCTGGCGGCGCCCGAGGTGTACGAGCGCGCCGCGCTCGTGGTGATGGCGCTGCTGTTTCCGGCCAGCTTTTGTATTCTGGGCGTACGGTTGGAGATGACGGCGGGGAAGGATTGGAGGTGGAAGGTTTGATTTTTGGGGGGGGAGGTTGGATGTTGGTTGGTTTGCTGGCGTCGCGTAGCATACTTTTCAAGTCCAATGTACCTGTGCTGTACATAGGTACTCCTTGTCATTGGGAGTCGTGCATGTGGATGGATATTCATTCATCAACAATTGGACACAACCAAAGACAACCTTGAAGGCAATGTGTCCACAACCTTCCTGACCCTGACTTGGACCTAGTAATCGAGCAGAGTGAGACATTCCACACCCCACAGACATTAAAATCTATAATCTGACCTCAAGGGTCGAACCCCTCTGGGACACATTAATAATGCGCATCGAAGCCTCAAGAAAGATGGAATTGAGTAATCAGAATGGATGGATGCCCTGTATCTCCAGGACTTTTACTTGGGGCGAACAGCCGCGAAACGGACGGCTGGAAGTCGCTAGTCCCGTTGGGGTTTAGTTTCCGGCATGCATCAGCGGCCCAGGCAGATCGGAGACTAGACTTGATTGGGAAGGCAGATGCAGCGCCGCGCCTGGGCCCGCGGCCCTGGGACTGCTGGCTGGCACCCGGCGAGAAGCGAGAAGGCGGTGGCGGGAGGGTCCCAGATTCTGGCATGACAGCGACAGAGGAGAGGAGAAGTCGGATGTGAATGAGCTCATTCGAGGTAATTTGTTCTACTAATAGGGGGAAAGCGGTCACATACTGAGTGGATTGTATCTGCCTATGCTTCGCCAGTCATATATTCTCATCATCCACGTTATGTGAACATCATACGAAAGAGACAATTGATTCAGAGAAGGGGATATGCTGTTATTTATCCTTTTCAAAAAAAGAAATACCACGCAGACACCAATTAGAACGAGCAATGAAATACAATTCCCAAATTCAAAAATACTCTATGTAGTCATTATCGCATAATTACCCCCCACCCAACTAGATCTAAGGAGTCTCCTCAACGTTGTAGACGAGCTTCTCGCCGCTGACCTTATCCTGCTTCAGCAGCTCCAGCCCCTCCATGACCCCCTCGAGCCCGCGGGCGCCGACCTTGGGCCGGTGGACCTTGATCTTGCCCTCGGCCAGCAGCTGGGTGGCGGTCTCCCAGAAGCGGGCGGCGAACTCGCGGTCCTGGGGCTTGGCGGGCATGGGGGTCTCGCCGAAGGTGAAGTCCTCGCCGACGGCGGTGTAGGCCAGGGTCCAGCGGTCGTTGACGTTCTGGCGCTCGATGCCCACGGCCAGGAGGGCGCTGTACTCGCCGCCCTCGGTGGAGAGGGCCTCGTCGCAGAACTTGGCGCTGGCCTCGACGGAGATCGTGTCCAGCACCAGGCGGAGCTTGTTGTCGGTGTACCGGCGGATCGCGGCGGGGGTGTCGGGGTCCTTGTAGTCGAAGGCGGCGTCGGCGCCCAGCTGCTTCACCAGGTCGAAGTTGTGCGGCGAGCAGGTGGTCAGCACCTGGTAGCCGGAGAGCTTGGCGAACTGGATGGCCAGCGCGCCGGTCGCGGTGGATCCGCCGTAGATGAGGAGGGGTTCCCGGGTGGTGGTGGGCGCGGTGGGCGGCGCCAGCTTCAGGCTCTGGTACAGCGCCTGGCCGACGGTCGTGATTCCCACGCCCAGCGTCGCCGCCTCCTGGAAGCTCAGGTTGGCCGGGATCTTGGTCGACACGTCCGCCTTGGCCACGATGTACTCTGCGAACGCCCCGTCCTCCGGCTCCACCGCGTTGGCCCCGTGCACGAACCCGCACACCCGGTCGCCCTTCTGGAACTTGCCCTGCACGTTCTTGCCGACTTCCTCCACGATACCGGCGTAGTCGCAGCCGACCAGCACGCCCACGGGCGCCAGGAAGGCAATGTGCTTCCAATCGGTCGGGTTCAGGGCCACGCTGACCGTCTTGACCAGGATGTAGTCGTCGCGGAGGGTGGGGATGGCTCGGTCGCGGACCAGGCTGGCCTGCTTGGGGGAGGTGACCACGATGGCTTTCTGGGTGGACATGGCGGCGGTGATGGTGGTGATGGTGGGTGGATTTGTGGTATGGTGGATTGAAGGGAGATGGGTGTTAGGGGAATTGTTCTGTCGGACTCCAGCAGGGGTTGGATGGTTTATATAGCAGATGAGGGTATAAAAAAGCTTGCAGCTACTCCCATACCTGGGAAAGGAGGAAACGCTTACAAATGGCGTCAATGAGGCCATTGAAACTCTCAGATGACAAATCGACTTCGATTTTCTTCTGGTGATCTCATCTGGGCCGCTGCTTTGGGGCATTTCCGTGTGTGTCGACAGGACCCACTTTCTGCAGCGAATCCTCGCGGTGTGAGTTTTCTAGAAGAACCGAGGGAGGCCGCAGCTGCATGGGGTTTCTGCAGAGCTCTGCAAACCCGTTGGATCTACGCAGCGGAAACTAGACCTATTTCGTTCGCCAAGCTACAGACTCAATTGCTGGTCAACCGCCATTTGTCTACTTGATTGACATTTGGGTCTGGTACAGTGTTACTCAAGTACATGATCATGGAGATTTAGAAGCGTAGATACTTTCTTGCCAGTTCGAGTTCCAACTTTCGGGGGGGGGCCGTGTTTACTCATCCTCGGAAGAATGCGCTAATCGCCGCTTGGAATGCTTTCTCGCAGGGTTTTCAAAGTGTAGAGGGTATGATTAGTTATCACGGGTTGATAATCAACCCCTGACCGTACTCGCTGGGATACCGACCGATTCGAGGTATCCCAGTTGTTGAGCTGCTGGTTAGATTCTACTCGACACCTCCGTATAGCGTTTATGACACGTGGTGCGAGACTCCAGTAGAACAATAATGGATTTGCAGGTGGTCTTCTCTTTTCGATTTATTGCAGTGTCGGAAGGGGTAAACGTTCGAAGAATTGGCAAAAAGCAATGACCAGACTGGGGCTCGATCCCAGGACCTTATCGGTGTTAACGATACGTGATAACCAACTACACCATCCGGCCAATTGATGAAATATGTGTCAATTTAATGCTTTCCAAACCTAGGCAGTGCACCAGGCATACTCCAATCCAAGTTCTATACTAACTTGCAAGTCATCAAGCAACACAGTGTAGTTCTGCCGTAATCATTTGGAGTGAGGATAGGTCTGCTTTTGTCTCAGGGCTTGGCTAATGCTCGCATACTCGAAGAAAGAAGACCTACGGCCTGTCTAGAACTAGGATTGGAGGGAGTTGGGGCGCTCCAAGTTATTCCTACGGGTGTGGTAGGGGACCAACGCGGGACTTTCTTGGGAATGACAGCATATGGCCCTACTTTGTGCGGCATTCTTTAATGGTGTTTCTGCTGTGTGGCTTGGGTTTTGGTGATGCGGCTTGGTTCGACGCTTTGGGGTCGACGAATTTGACAATTGTTGAGGGGTTTTTTTACTTATGTCAGTGCGATATATATACTGGCCAGGAACCTCGAGTTATCACACTCGTAGCATTATCCGGTCCAAACCAGGCCCGATTGATACACAATACATTGCACACCGAACTCTAATTGTACAAGTAGACATAAGACCTTGGACTTACCCTCTAGTCGATATATCCTACGAAATAGTGGTGAAATCATCGGTAAAATAAAAAAGACAGAAAGGGAAGTATTTTGCTTTGTTTTCCTTTCACCTTATTGTAAAAGATCATAAAGTCATACACAGAAACTTAAAATAATGAGTTGGCCGGATGGTGTAGTTGGTTATCACGTATCGTTAACACCGATAAGGTCCTGGGATCGAGCCCCAGTCTGGTCATTCTTTTTGTCCACGTACCCTGGACGGCATCGTTTTTGTTATTTTCTGTTGCATACTAGCTAAGTACACGAATTTGACCACCTGAGATATACGAAATGTCTCTCGCAAGTTAATACCCGAAGTTCGCCCCAATCGCATCCTCCGCACATCAAAGACAACTACTTCCCTATCCATCCAAACCACCAGACTTTGTCCCCGACTGTCTACCCTCCTTCATCATGCTAATTTATCTTCCTCTCTTCTCTGGTCTACCCAAGAGACAAGGGCCTCAGAGTGCTGACAAGTCAACCGAGTACAGCTGCACGATGCAAGTACCACTGCATCTCCAGTAGCTGGAAGGACGGGAGGGGCAGATTTCGTGGGTCCTTGGTTCGTAGCACCACGATATCACCGGATCGCATCAAACTATTGGTCCGAGAGTTGTTGAACGTAAAGCGCGCAGTGTCGATCTGACCAAAAGCCGGAGCCGAGGTCAGCGGAGCCGAATGAGGCCCAACCTCACCAGGGAGCCAATAGAACTGGACGGTCAACGACCTGCAATCCTGGCTCATCTCCAGCGGTTTTAAGGCAAACCCTAGATTTGCCCAAGCATCAGAGACGTCAGAGTGTAGAAGTATCGTATTACCGGCTTCATTCGTGCACCCGCAGCCAAGCGCGGCTTGTCGCCAGAATGCCACCCTAGGGCCCGTCCAAAACATCCCCAGAATGTCCCACAGCATGGTCCGCTCCCACTCTCTGTCATCCTCCTCCAGCCGATGCGGATAAACATTAACGGACTCGGTGAAGTCAGGATTTCGTGTGATCACGCAGGACCCGTCTCGCTCCCTGCACTGTACACAGTCAGACCCACACCACAAGCAAGACGTTACCGGGAATACCAATAACTCACCGAGCCCGGCCATTTTTCACTAGCATCGTCCCGTGCGTTGTAAACATTGCCTCTCCCTATGTGAAACGAATGTCAGTCAGCGAATTCTGGTAGCGGATACGCTTTTTTTTTTTGCCACTAACATGCTCCTAGCGCGTGATTGGTTAAATCGGAACCCTGGACGAACAAGAGCCGGAACACACTGGGAGATCTTTTGCACCCTTCAAGCAACGTCTCTAGGGCTTCGACATCAGCTAGCCAGAGCAAGGCCCGTACGCTTGAGTCGACCGTGACGATGCCCAGGTCTGAGCTGATTTGCGAAATGACTTCTGCTCTTCTCGGATCATCGATCTCAGGCAATGGGTTACACAAAGCAGGGCCCGACACCGTCACCCTGGAGCCTGGGGCTGAGACATTTGGTTGCTCCATGAGGTCTGTAGAATCCTGGGAAGCCAATATGTTTTACTTTGGTAGGGATGGTGACGTGGCAGAGATTTTGCGAGGATGCGAAGTAGGTCGGAAGACCTTTGTCTTGTTCCAGTGAGATGTGAACTCCTTGGAATCCTGGATGGAGTAGTATGGTATCGGAATAGGATTCGGGAAACATGGAGAGGAGAGAGAGAAGAGAGCGGAGTGTATAAGAACAAGGCGGGAGTAGACTTGGAATAAGAAAGAGATGTAGCAGTGAATGGAAGGTAAGGCAGGATAGTGGTGAAATAAGAAACCCAGGTCCCTTCACTGATTTCCGTGTGAGGTAATACTAATAGGGACCGTGATCAGTTGTGTTCACAGAGCCCTGTGCTTCCTCACCCATCATCATAGTTCATGAACTCCTCCGAAAGGAAAGAGAAGAAATCAATTGATGATGGCCTTATACCATGTGGAGCAGATAGAAAAGTGACAGATAAAGTGGGACTGATACAAGTGTGCTTGATTGCAGGCTCCATTAGCGAGAGATTAAAGCTTTACATGTCACCTCAACATTCAGAACTCCTTCGTAAGGTCCAAGTTTGAGGAACCACCAAGTACTGGGTCAGTTCAGAATAGTTCATATCTGCTGGGGATCGTTTCATTGTATTCTCATGAATCCTTCAAGACAACAGCCGGAGATATCGCATCTAAGCCACAGAGAAGGCCGAAGAAATGCCTAATATGGAAGGACGGGTGCTGATGAAACAAACCGAATGACCACGAAGTACTGGCTTGCCATAGCCAGGTATCACAAATTGGTCAGACACAAATTAATGCCGCCTTGTCAAGCATAGATCGATATCTTAACGTTGACCATCGCGTCGCTACATACTGTCGAGTATCCGTGTAGGACAGAGTGTGGTAATGCGAGAATTGCATGGCAACATAAAACAAGACCGAAAGATTGAGACATTGTATGATCTGTGGTCTAATTGCCTCTTTATAGGCAGTTCAGAAGTGATGCCGAAAATGGAGACTGGTAAGTTTACCTACAGTAGTTCGAACATGGTTCTTTGACCTGCTGCTCACTCTTACGCTTGATCTCTTTTTGCCGAAGGGTCAAGTGCTCCGCATGTTTTGGATTGTAGATACGAAAATAAAAAAGCATTATATAATCGGCCGGATGGTGTAGTTGGTTATCACGTATCGTTAACACCGATAAGGTCCTGGGATCGAGCCCCAGTCTGGTCATTTATTTTTGTATTTTTACTTGCCGACCAGTCCAATCCTCTCAAATTCATCATGTACTCGCAAACATTCAGATGGGATTATTTGGGTAAAAGTTTCCTTCTTGCTACTAGCTCGAGCCAGTCGGGATGAAACCCGAGCTTAAGAAATGTGTTGCGAAACCTTCTTGTGGCTTGACCTGTAGAAGCTGTCATTGCCGAACGAAGCTTTACCCTAAGCCAAGCTGACGGCAGAATGCTTTGGGTCATGATGAGCCACTCAACCTAATCGTTTCCTAGGGTCAAAAAGCAAGCCCAGTCAAGAAATTTAAGTCCATTACAACGAAGAGTTGCACTGATGCATGGCAAGATCCAAGTGACTTTCAATGAGTGCACGACCATGGCCAGGCATCTGTAGAGAATAGAAGGACGACCTTTTTTATGTGCTGATAACCCGAGGTAAATAAGGAAGTCACATCTGAGAACTCACTTATCAATGCCCTGAGCGTTGCAACCGTTTCCTCATCAAATTCGTCTCAGACAAACAATTCTTTATTCCACCGTGCGTCTGCCTCGTAATTAGAATGATTCTCACCCAGAAGCTATGCTTTATTCTGGGTCTCTCCCGTCCCACGGTGCTAACTTTCCAATACAGATTACACTCTGACACAGTGTGTGTCTCGTAATGGACTTCGGTAACTGTGAATACTCACAAACCTTCTCTCGTATAATGCCAATGGAATGGATAGATACTCCTGGGTCTGTGAGGATATTTCATCACCAGTTCAAGTTTCACCTGCCGTTATTTACAGGTCACGAACTACAACTCAATTAATTCCTCCTTTGTCAAGACTTAGCATCCTTCTGCCCAGTTTCAACTTGACCCTTCCTCACGCCCAGCCAATCTCATTCAAATTGCGAGGATTGTCAACTGAAGAAAGCGCCGGGGTAAGTTTGCTTTGTCTTACACGGTGTCAGTCGCCCTGTCACTCTCCCTTGTCGAGTCGGGTGGTCTTTAAACAATTGTTCTCAATATCCAAGGAAGATCAAAAGCAGGTACCTCATGTTCTATCACACTGATTGCTACTATTGGCACGCACCAGGTACATCCACAAGCGAGTTCCCAGAATTGAAGACATGCACAATCATGCCTAACCAGGTCCAGGGGCATCTAAAACATCTTGCTTCGCGGAGCAATACACAGTACGGTTTGTCCCCAAAAGAGCTACGCATGTCGATAGTCTTACCACGACGGATATGGCTCACAGTGAGCCGACACAGACCTCCCATTTGCACAGTCGGATAGCATCCAAGCAAATGATTCGGTATATAGGAAGTAGCCAGCACGACGCCTGTCTTAACAGTTAAACCGTCCGGGGCGACAATCCACATTCTTATCGGCACATACATATTTGCAAGAAGCCCGATGGTACTATGCATAAATCTGTCGAAGATTCCAAGCCTGATAACTTCCGTGAGCTAGATCGATGGCAATAATGAGTGAGCATGATTGCCAAGTCAGGACAGTTTAGTGTCGCTTGCAATACTGCGTAAAGCTGTCTGTTGGGATTGCATGTCAAAGAGAGAGGACAGTAATCACAGTTGGCCGGATGGTGTAGTTGGTTATCACGTATCGTTAACACCGATAAGGTCCTGGGATCGAGCCCCAGTCTGGTCATCTTTTTGCTCTTCTTCTTGTTTTAAGACCTCAATATCTCCCTTGACATGGCTATGACCATGTCCTTACTACCTTAACTTCGCCGAGCAAAGGAAATTATCATCTTGGCTGCGTACAGTTCATGGTTTGTATGGGGAGAGATTCGGCGCTGGACTCATTGTCTCGGTCAAGTTAGGGCTAGGTCCGTGTACGGCATCGCCAATCACCAAACTTGGGGTCTACGAGTACTTTTTACGAGAAATCAACTTATGAAACATAGACCGGGTCAATTCAGCTCATTCCAAAATTAATGTCTCTCTCAACGTTGAATTCCAGTTGGTGAGAGACATTAGAGCCGAAGGTCAATGAGTGGCAAACTGTCTCTGTCTGAGTAACCGGGGCCAATCGGAATATGCCTGGGTCTGGATGTCAGACCAGAAGCACAATTCACTGTTCTTTCATTGGGACATAGACATTGGCTGTAGAAGCTGTGTTCTTGACTCGGCATCTCCAGGCTCAGTCGGTTTACATTTCTCATGCACTCTCATCGACTAGGTGCGTTACCCGACACCAGATTGCGACAGGGCACAACGACCATGATGATTGACCGTTACCAAGCTCAGATAAATGAGGGCATAGAATGCTGCCCATGGTGCTGAAAGCTCTGGTTGCGTCGGCGTTGTTGGCGAACCATTTCCATTAACCGCCAGAACGTGGGGTATCCCGCAGCCCATGGAAGGGCGCAAGAGGCTCCAGAAGCCCAGCAAATTCCAGTGCCCATGAACCATTTGGCAAAGGGCAGAGAGTTTTGGCGAATCCCTTGAATTCCACGATGAGTCGTCGTCGATAAATCATGCAAAAGATATCGGTGGCAAAAAAGATGACCAGACTGGGGCTCGATCCCAGGACCTTATCGGTGTTAACGATACGTGATAACCAACTACACCATCCGGCCAATTGATGAGAAAAGCTCAACCTTTTGGTGACAGGAGCCTGCAATAAGCGACACAGCCATCATTTCACTCAAGCCTCTTTTAACCGAGGGAACGACATTGTAGATATAGCATAACATCGCAGGCTTCTGTATAATGCTCACTTAAACCCAGCGTCACCTGAGTTTCTTCTATCTTTCAGCCCTCTCTACCATAGCCAATGCCTACCCCCAAGCATAGACAAGACAAGCCATTCCAGTCGTTCAAATATCCTCCTCGCCCAGAACCGTCGTGACCGCAACACCATCCTAAATCCAGTCAGCATGACATTCAACGCTCCCCTAGAACCCAAGGCAAGGGAAAGAAAAAAAAATACATACCCTGCCAAACTGCGTCTCAAACTCCCGGACAACAGTCTGATACACCAGACCAGGCCTAGGTCTCAACCCCGTCGCCTCCCACCCCTTCTCCCCCTTCCGCGACTCCAACAACCCCCTCTTCTCCGCACACCCAGCCCTAACCCACTCCAAATACTGCGGTGCCCCCGGCATCACCACATTATCCGCGACCACCACCGACTTCTCCGGCACCAGCAAACCCAGCTCCTCCATCAACCACAGATCCGGCAGGTACAGCTCCTGCCAATGATCCAGAAACACCATCTCCACCGCTTGCACCTCCCCATCCGCCACCAACTCCCGGAGGCTGGATGCCGCCGACCCCACGATCACCCGCACCACATCCTTCAGACCCGCCAGATCGATCAGCTGGTTCGCGACCGCCGCCATCTCCGGGTTCTGCTCCAGACTGAGGTACCGGGTGCCGCCGGCGGCGCGGAGCGTCGCCCCGAACAGAATGGCGGAGTACCCCACGTACCCGCCGAGTTCGATCATGACGCGGGGCTTGTGGGCGACGATCAGGTCCCGGATGTAGGCGCCCTTGGGGGCGCCGATGTTCATGAGCGGGTTGTGCGTGTGGCTGTAGGCGTCGATCGCGGCCAGGATGGCGGTCGGGTTGTTGCGCAGGGTGGGGAGGTCCGGGTGCGCGTAGATGTAGTGGAGGAGGTCGACTTCGCGGCCATCCTTGCTCCCCGGGGCGGAGGTTGAGGTTAGTGTTTGTGGTAGGGATCGTTGGCGGGGTGGACTTACGAGAGCGTAGGGTAGAGGCTTTGGGGCGTGGGGCTTGGACATTGTGTGCTGCGGTGTAGGGTTGCGTTGGACTATGCGATGAATGTTGAGGTGTGCGTGTGGGAAGGGATGCTTGGAGATTGTGTAGGCTTGAGACTGAGGTTGCAGGTTTTCCGTTGAGCTGAGCGAGTCTTTTATGTCATGGTGCTTGCGGTTCTTTGTGCCCAGGCAGCCGTCGGCGATTCGGCCATGTCATGGAGTTTACCCCTTCTTTGTGCTGTCTCCGGACGGACACTCGGGCTTAACACGGATGACGTAGCTTTGATGATGATAAGCCGACTATCTTGTGTGGTTGTGTTGCTTTTCTGGGATTAAGGTTAGATGCGCCACGGAGATAAAACACGGTGGATGGCTCGGAGCCGAGGATTCGGCGCCCGGATCGCGGGGTGGAAGCCGATCGACCTGCCAAGCCACAAGGCTGAGCTCAATCCATGGCTTCTGAAGTGCCCACATACGTTTTCATCAAGCTTATTGACTCGGACTGCTCTACTCCAGTGCTCTCGTTCGCTGACGCTTTTCTCTCTAGGCTGCCTTGTGCTGTGACGATGCGATCGAAATACATGTAGCACCACCCATTCAGAAATTGTTGCATCGATCTCATGCGATCCCCAAAATCTATTCCTTTGTTCTCCGACGGTTGAGACTTCGGTGAAAACATCCAAGCAACCATATAGGGGCGAACGCCATCGTGTTTCTTGGTGCAACTTGCTCGATGAATTAGGTAGCAACTCCACTGCAGCGAGTACTGATTTCAGAAAGGGCTGCTGGAAACGGATCATGAAGTAAGCCACTCCCTCGTAGAAAGCGAGCAAGCAAGACCCGGGACGTTCCTTTTACTCGCAGCCTATCTATATTCAACGCTGAAATATTGCTGACCCCTTAGCGTGTAGATTCGTACTGAGACACCTTTCATCACCTGATGAGAACTCGACCCACAACGTGCTCCCAAGTCTGGAGCTTTCAGTATCGAGACTGTGCTGCATCCCAACAAGAGGAGCGTGCCAAGACATTGCTCTTATGGAAGCTTCAGCAGTTCGAGTTGGCAGTAAGGTATCATCTAACAGGCCCCTTCTACCAGACTAGTTCCCACTTAGGGCCAGAGGAAGGCATTGACAACAGTCCCTCTCACAAAATTACAATACTGAGCTCCTAGATCATTGATAATACAGAGCCAGGAGCCCTGGTCGCATATGACTGGTGGCAGTTCACGAGGGCAAGACCAAGGCCGAGTGGGCGACCACATTTGCCACCAGGGTTAGGGCCAGATGGAATAGGACTAAGCCCACCGGATGCGACCAGTACTGCTCGACCCTTGAGCCAAGTTGGGATTTTGACTACTTGAGAAGTATTGGAATTCGCATCTCAGGCAATGAAATCTTGAATAGTGGCTGATATGAGCGGGCAGCTTGGTTTTGGGGACTGCGAAGAAGTATATGTGCAGCTAGCATTTCAAAGTCCAGGCTTATGAGGTGCTTTGGTGCGGAGGATGATTGAGCAACTCGATCGGCTGGGGCATCAGGCTTATAGAAGGTTTTGCAGACTGGTACGGTCTGGAAGCCGTAGGAAGGTCTGAAGGGGCGCAAAAAAAATCCTCTGTGTTCCTCGTGCGATTTGCTGGAAAGAAGTAAGGCAGAATACCTTGAGGTCAAGAGTACACAAATCTTAGTCCACGACGGTTGCTCCTTGGTCATTAACTTGCGGGTGGGGTATCTCGGTTACAAGTATGAGGAGTTTGATCCTACGTTGATTCGTGGCAAGCCCGCAGGACTACCTAGTAAGGATGCTAGCCCATTTTTCTGGTAGATCACGCCATCTGGGGGTGGAATTATATGCCGTCTCGATGATTCTCACAGCATGCTTAACTGACAAGGGAGACCAAGGTTCTTGGCTTCCATGCTGCACCTTCAATCACATATCCTCAGCAGGTACTGGTACGGCTGACACAAGGAAAAAAGACAGTCAATACGTAGAAGCAGAAGCGTCACAATTGTCCAAGATAAGAAGGCCAGCACTGCGACGGGATCGAAGAGTGCGTGGCAGATTAGAAAGACCAAAGACCCCAGACCAATCGGAGAAGGGTTCGGACGCCCGGTAGTGGAGGGGAAGGGGCGCCTGGTTGCTGAGGCGGTCATTTGCCATTGCTCAGGCACCCACCTTTCCTCTTCCATCTTCCCGTCCCGACTTCAAGTTCACTTTCTCCCTCCCACCAACTACGCTCCAAGATGTCGATAAGCTCGATGGCTCCACAAAGCTTGACTGACGCCAATACTCAATTGAATTGGTGACTGCCACCTCCTTGGACGACATCCCACTTTCTGCATCCCCACACCCTCCTAGTCGATGCTGGTGAGCCGCTCGGATAGCAGCGCGCCACCAATTGCACCATGCATTTCCCTCAGCAACCCCCTGAGGACTTGGATTGTTCATGTAAAAATTTCCAAGAGACAGACTCATGCGGTTCTTTCACAGTAGTCTTCGATGGACATAAAGATGAATGCTTCACATTGGCGGATTGATTGCGGGGACGCCTCTCTTATCGCGAGAATTGACCCACCCTGCTACTTATTGTCATCCAGCTAACGCCCAATCACCGTGCAGTCGCCCCTCTCATTCCGCCTGCAATACATATTCCATGCTCAGCCGACCACATAGGCCCCCATTGCGCATGCAGGTGCCATATTTCGTCTTGCAGGCAGGATATGCTCATTGGACGCTTGCGTGGTGACGGGGCAAAGTTGGTCAACCGAAAACAATCGTCCTATCACAGCGGAGCTTTCACCATATCATCCCAAGAAACCCCGGGGAGGATGAACGCTTTCATGCTAATGCAGACGCGTTATCAGGCACTACGATTGTGTGCTGCATGGCCACCAAATCAGCTGGAAAGAAAGCCAGGCGACCATTAAAGAGATGCAATTCCACATTTCCCAGCCAAACCTCTTGTTGAGAGGAACTCGCTCCAAGTTTCAAGACACCTTAAAGTCTACCGTCCGTCAAGATGGCTGACCACTACGAGGAAGGCGCTCTCAAAGGGCTTCAAGTGGATCAGGAGAAACTCGGGGCGACCGAGACTAGTATCGATGAAAATGACCTCGACGGCCTTCTGGTTCAGTTGAAGGGCATGGTGGCTGAAAATGAGCTCGATGTCAACTTTCCGGCCCACATCCTCAACCAGGCACGGGAAGTTCTCGATGCCGAGGCCCACCACGTTGATCTCTCTCAGCTCCAGACTCTCGTGGCGGAGATCGCCAAGCACCGCGACTTGATTGCGAACGACTCGCCGTACGCAGAAGTCCGCGCCGTGGTGGACCCGACGGACGACCCTGAAGTCTCGGCCAACACCTTCCGGGCCTGGTTCCTCGGGCTGCTGTCAACCATCATCTTCACCGCGGTCAATCAGTTCTTTACCCTGCGTTATCCCACCATCAACATCTACTCGTTAGTGGCCCAGCTACTCTCGTACCCGTGCGGCGTGTTTCTAGCGCAGGTCTTACCCACGCGAAAGTGGAATCTATTCGGCTGGCACTTTACCCTCAATCCCGGCCCCTTCAATCAGAAAGAGCACATGCTGATTACTGTCATGTCCAATGTGTCATTTGGAGGCGCGAACGGTACAGCTTATATCACCTACATCTTTCAGGTCCTCAAGGCCAAGTCCTTCTACAACATGACGTCTCTCTACGATCAGGCCGGATTCCAGATCCTGTCGGCTCTGTCAACCCAGCTGATAGGCTACGGATGTGCCGGTCTGACGCGGAGATTCCTGGTGTATCCGCCATCGATGATCTTCCCCAAGTGCCTGTCCACCATCGCATTGAACAAGGCCTTGCATGGCGACGAGGGACGTGACAAGGAGGTGAACGGGTGGAAGATCAGCCGCTACCGCTTCTTCATGTACTGCTTCGTCGCCATGTTCGTCTACTATTGGTTCCCCGCGTACATCTTCCAGGCCCTATCCTACTTCAACTGGATCAACTGGATCTCGCCCGAAAACGTCAAACTGGCCATCATCACCGGCACCATCAACGGCATGGCGCTCAACCCATTCCCCACCTTCGACTGGAACATCGTCTACGGCCTCTACGACCCGATCATCTATCCCTTCTACTCGCTGCTGAACAACGTCGTCGGAATGGCCATTGCATCCTTCTTCATCATCGTGCCGATCTACTTCACCAATGTCTGGAACACAGCCTACTTCCCCATCAACAGCAACGACGTCTTCGACAACACGGGCAGCACGTACGACGTGAGTAAGGTGCTGAACAGCAAGGCCGAGTTCGACGTCGAGGCCTACAGCAAGTACAGCCCCCCGTATCTCTCCGCCGGATACAGCATCATGTTCATGGCCTCGTTTGCAGCGTACCTCGCCGCCATCGTGCACATCGCGCTCTACAACCGACAGGAGATCACCAAGGGGGTGCGAGCGCTGTGGAAGTGGACTAGCGCACGCGACGAGCACGAGGACGTGCACAACCGCCTGATGCAGCGGTACAAGGAGGTACCCGAATGGTGGTACCTGACCATCCTGGCCGTCTCCTTCGTCTTTGGCTGCATCGCCGTGGCCCACTACGACACAGGCATGCCGATCTGGGGCCTGGTGTTCGCCATCGGGCTGTGCCTGTTCGTGCAGATCCCCTACGGGATGATCTACGCCATCACCAACACGGAGGTGACCAACAACGTGATCGCCGAGTTCGTGGCGGGCTACGCCATCCCCGGAAAGCCCGTGGCCAACCTGATGTTCAAAGCGTTCGGGTACATCGCGTGTGCGCAGTCGATCCAGTTCGCGGCCGACCTGAAGCTGGGCCACTACATGAAGATCGCGCCGCGCGTGCTCTTCTCCGCGCAGGTGGTGGCCACCGTCGTCGGGGCGTTTGTGTCCGTGGGCGTGAATGCGTGGGCGCTGGCTAACATCTCGGACGTGTGCTCGCTCGACCAGCCCAGCAAATTTACCTGCGCCGGTATGTGCCCCCCTTGCCTACAACTCATCCAACATCCCTAAGCCCGCCCACTAATACCTTGTAACTTCAGGCGCCCGCGACTTCTACACCTCCTCCGTGATCTGGGGCGCCATCGGCCCGCGCCGCCTGTTC